CTCGCTTTAGCCCCTGAATGCCGAGCGTCAGACAGGGTAACAACGAGTACCATCTTTTAACGTCATTTGGTAGTCCACTAGACCACGGAGGCGGTCAGAATAAAGGCAGAAAATATTGAGAACGATAGACGTATGTTTATTCTTGAAAACCTGTAGATGGCACGGGAACAAAGTTGTCAGGATGTCGAAAGCTGTAGGTAAAGGGGTCATTGCTACCATGGTAACGACCTATTAGTCCCACACTAAAATCCTTAAATTTCATAATTCCCTGCATCTGGTCAGCATCTGGTCAGTATCTGGTCAGCATCTGGTCAGGATCTGGTCAGTGGCTTTGTCATTCAAATGATGATTTTCAGTTTATCTACCTATTTGGAAAAAAATAACTGTATTGAAGTGGACGCGTACCGTAACGTTATGATGACGTAAAGATGTTGTACACCTCGGATATAGACGCTTTCGTGCGAGGCGACTACGAGTTAAAGGACGTCTACAAAGGCACATTACCTAGGGATTATTTACTACGTACGCATAAACGAGAGACTTTACCGGCAGCCTATATCGTGAACACTGCGCCAGCTTCTCATTCGGGATTACACTGGATTTGCTTTTACGTACCGAATAAGGATACCGTAGAAAGTTTTGTTTCATTCGGTTTGAATAATTCGCTTATGTGTGCTGAATTCAATAGTTTGAAATATCTATACGGTAGACGTGTGTACATATTTTCTAGTAGAAAGCTTCAATGTTACGATAGCGTTGTTTGCGGTTACTATTGTCTGTATTTTCTATATTATCGGTGTCGACACAACTCCATGAGTGGTATTTGAAACAGTTTCACCGATGATTGTACTATAAACGATGATATCGTACACTCTTGGTATTGGAATAAAAAGCGTTAAAAACGTATATGCTACTATTTTCTGGTTTATTGGCCACGCCTACAGGTTAAACGGTTGATAAAAAGCATGACATGTTGGTACATTCGATATAATTGGGTGTGAATAGCTCCCGTCAACGGATCGGTCAGACGTATTCAGCGTCAGCGATCCGTAATACCAGCTGCTGCGCAACAGCCTCTGGTGATTAACCCGTTAACAAGGGCGATGCGGTCAGCGTCAATGTCGCTCACGCACGGTGTCATAACTATTGTTTAGAAGTGACAGTTTCAAAATGTTCGCGGCTATCGAAGGTAATGAAAACGGTATCATATTTCTTAATACATAAACGTGCTTAAATACGACATTCGGAAAGCTTAAGTATAAAGACAGTATCTATTCACGACATATTATACGTTGTCTCGCCTATTATGGAAGGTCTACACTTTCCAGTAACGTTAAACAATCCGAGTTCAGTCTTTATCAAAGGTAGCAATTGTAGCATCGTTGTCCATTCTTCCATGGTCATTGTTATTCCTTTAATGGTGGCCTTACCGGCCAGAAACATTCTCACGTCCAAAACTGTACGGTTTTCAACTCGACATACGTTTAGTCTGGTCACTGCCGACAATTGTACAATTGGAAATATGAAGACAAAATCTTACAAGAACATAGAAGACATTCCCCCAACTGCGTCTACCTGAAGACCGTATTTGGCTCACCATCCACGACGATCTAAGACGTCGTCAACATCCACGTGTACAGTGTACGCACAGGTTCCTTATGGAACCACCAAATCTCCCAAAAGAAAACTTTTAACATTTTGCTGAGACGCTTTCAATTAAGATATCCTTTCTCTATTTCTTTTTTTTTTCAGCTTGAGAATTTCACTTTGTAATTTTAGAACTTCTTTTTTATTGTTATTGTATACACTAAGTCTAGAATAGCATTCACTTGGTTTAATTATGAATAAGTTACATAACAGCGCTCAAAATCAAAATGGGTGGGAAAGTGGGGTGGGAAAGAGGGGTGGGACCCCTGGGTGGGGGAGGGGACCCTGCGGGTAGAAATCAGCCAATGAGAGGACAGAAATATATGTCCTTACTCTGGGTTGGGGGGTGGGGGAGGGGGACCCTGCGGTAGGAATCAGCCAATGAGAGGGCTGCAATATATGACGGGCAGAAATCAGCCAATGGGAGGGCTGCAAATAAAAAAACCGGGCATAAGTGCACTATATACTACTATTGTGTGTGTGTATGTGTGTGTGTGTGTGTGTGTGTGTGTGTGTGTGTGTGTGTGTGTGTGTGTGTGTGTGTGTGTGTGTGTGTGTGTGTGTGTGTGTGTGTGTGTGTGTGTGTCTCCATGTGGCAGCCTGCGATAATGTCGGTTTTATTGTGGGCTATCATGCCGCAACTTAACATATATACCCCATTCAGACACAATATACTGACTCCGAGGTGTTATCCCTTTAATTTCAGGCAGGGTAACAACAAATGCCGTTTTTTAACGTATTTCGGTATGACAGTGCCAGGGAATCAAACCACCGGCTTTCTGCTCTCTGGGAGGACGTTCTATCTATTCGAATAAAGAGCCGGTCTCATATCATGGAAATTAGACTGTGTTCAGTTCTACAACTGCGTGTTAGGGATTCAATTAAATAAATGTATAGGTAATGCTAAAATGTGCAAAAATAATATTTGAGAGGTGTTGATATTCTTATTTTTGAACATAAGCAAGTCTTTGACCTATCTAAGATGACTTTTCACTAGATGTTCATATTTAATGGTGATTCAAGGACGCATGCTCATGAGATGGTCGGAATCGTACCGTCGACCATGCTTTTGACAGATATTTCTTATGAATATGGAAAGGGTTGTGTCGTTTCATATTTAAAGGCAGAAATCTATTTGCCAAGTATTTTAGTACTGGAAACCTATTTGTCAAGAACCCCTCCAAGTTGTGGCAAGTCTCGCACAAACGGATTTTTAAAAATTCAGCATGCTATTTTCATGGGTATGTGATAAGGAAGAAGAATAAAGAAAATTATTTCGAAAACTCTTTAAAAAAAAAAAAATTATGTCGCGCATGATCGAAAATATTTTATTTGCTTCAAATGTTTTTGTTATGCAGATAAATAAATGTGTATTAAGACACACAATTCGATTATAATTTAATTGAAATAATTAATAGCATTATTAAAATATCTCGCCCATAGGCGAAAAGGTTTGGCCCGTTGGCGAGAATAATTTCATTTGCCCTGACCTCTTAAAACTTAAAACTTTTGCAAATACATAAAGGTGTCTCTACAAGTATCATGATTCATTTAAACTTAATTCAACTAGTTTATGACGCTCCCATTTTTAGACAGATTAATTTGTTTTAACACGGTAACTGTGCATTGATGAGAGAGAGAGAGAGATACAGTGTATATATATGTTTCCCTTTATTTCAAATTTATGGTTGGTTAATTCTGGCCAGTCCCATGTGGCTGCTTGTTCTATGCCGATTTTCTAGGGCGTCCCAGGTCAGCGACAAGAGTAAAGGATTGATTGTTCCGAAACCAGGCCCTACGAAATCGAGCTTAAACGGCAAATCAAGTTGCTGCAAACTTCCATCAGGCTGCTGGAGTAGACGATTTGAAACCGTCTACATGCAGCTCATCTCCATGCTCGAAGGCAACGTGTTGTTCCGCCCCTTACATTTTCGTCATTTTGCCAACAGACATCAATGGTGTACACAACGTCGAAACTTGGATAATCGTCGCTGGTCACGTGTCATGCGTTCAGATGAGTCACGAGTCACTTTGCACTTCCTTAATAGGCTTGGTCGTATCTGGCGACGTCGAAATGAACGTAAATATCAACATGGGACCTCATGGCGGTGGGTCAGTTATGGTGTGGTGTGGTGTGGTTGCGAACATCCATATTGTGCAAGGAAGTGTATTTTGACAGTTCTATCGGGACAAAATACAAGATGGCGAGATATGTGTGTCAATGTCATAGGCCGCCGACCACGTTGCTGAAGTTGGCCAGGCGCTCCAAGAGGAGTGGGACAAACACCCTCAGATCTCGCTAATACTCACTAACGTCCAAAAACGTCAAATGTGAAATTCCTATCTTACTTTTATATTCCTACAAAATTGTTGGCGGTCATAACTTTCATACTTCACTTCCGGTTACAATATGTTCACATATTATAATCATACAACTATTACTTACAAAATAATATATCTTACAAATTTTGACGTTATTTCCACGTATCCCTTACTTTTTAAGAGTATATTTGAACTTAAGAACTCATTATTATACATCTATTGTTTTTTTTTCAAAATGCCAGTGAAAGGTTCTCTAAGGCAAATTCTAAGAGTAAATAAGTTATCGTTTTTGTGTCACCTTTTCCTATTTTATTGATTTAATAATACCACTGCTGTGATAATACCTTTCTCCTTTTAGCTCTTTATGGCCTCTTCCATTAAGTTTTCTTGTCGATTTGGAGTCTTTCACTGCAGTGAGTAAAATCTATGTGAAACTCGTAGTCAGAGGCCGTTATACATTGACACATTGTCATTTAGGATTTTGAAATAACTATAAAATGTTTCTAAACATGGCATACCGGAATCTTTCACCATCTAACATGATTTTGAATCATGAATTCTCAACGAGGATAGTTTCTTTGGAGGTATGCAGATTATGATCATAATATTTTAATTATTACGCTTTCTCTTGTAAGGACAAAGATCGACGCAGTCACTGTGGCCATAAATCACATGATATTTAGCTGTTTTGCCATCTTTTCCTTCCCACCCCACGTCTAATCCCAGTACCAAAATTATAGCTGCAAACACCCGTCTTCTTCTTCACCACATTGTCAAATATTCATTCTCTCTCGCCATGTTGGGTTGGAAGGGTGACGATAGTGGCGTTTCCTTGGCGGGACATATATTTCTGTCGCAGACCTTAGGTGTCTCAATACCGATGTTGCCAAACATAAATTGCTTCGTGTGTCATGGCATTTAGTGGCAGTGTCCATTCCGAGTGAATCAGTGAATCTGTCAGCAAGTCGGAAATCCCATCGGCGAACACTGCACAAGCCTCCATGGAGTTGTTAAAGATAACATAACTACCGTTTATATAATGAAGTTATGTTGATGTTTTTTAATCCTTTAATCTGTGTTCATGGTTATTATACTTTCCACTGTCTTCTGAGGATCTGTTAATTTCTAAATTGACGGAATTCATCATGGCAATGTGATTTATTTCTACTATTATTATTTCTGTTTAGATATTGGATTTGATATATGAAGTACAGTCGAACCTTGTTATATCGAACTTGGATGTGTCGAACTCCCGGTTGTCTCAAAACTCGCCAGTATCCACATTCAGCATAAACGTCACCTGATTCCTCGAACTTTCTTCCCGGTTCGCCGAGTTCGACACAACGGGGTTTGACTGTATAGGAGAAATTATAGATATCGCTCGACACCAGAACATAAAACTTCACAATAACTGCAGTGTTGAATAACGTCCAATTCAGTGTAAGTAAATGTGCTGTTATCATGGTATGGGGAGCCTCCATGGGGATGTATATAGAACAAACAAGGATAACTATATATGTAGGCTTTGTTACAAACAATCATTTCACTCCAGTTCATATTCATGTAAATTACAGCACACATCATAGCACAATTCATCATAATTATGCAAGACCATCACGTTGTAGCCACGACTCGTTCTTCATTGGTTATATGAATACAACATGTAGGCTAGGTTGCTCTAGATACAACTCCTCGTCACCAATAAAGGGATTTTGTATGTTTTATTATTTGGCCGAGGGAGGCATTGAACATGAGCAATCAACGTTCATTTTAAACGTATTCATACGGATACATGTGTGTTGGTATTTACGGAAACGTAGCAGGGCCACGGTGAATATTTTTTGACTAAGTACCTCCAACGTAGGACTTACTATCTCCTACGTAGGACTTAGTATCGCCTACGTAGGACTTCCTATCTCCTACGTAAAAGATACCTAGTCCTACGTAGGAGATGCTAAGTGCTATCCATTGTGTCTACTTTGTCATCGTTTTTTACAGTGAACATGCTGTGACCACATTTTCTATTTGCTGCGATGGGTATTTCAGTTTGGAAATGCTTATTCACTTTGAAAATATTTGTTAAAATCTTCCTTGATCTTGGATAACATATCCGGTGATGTGAACACGTCAATGGCTGTCATGGCGAGAGCCTTTCCCATGTCCAGTGTGTTGCGCTGTGCTTCAGGCGAACCTTTGAAAAGATGAGTAGTTGTTCACCTATGTTTCAGCTTGAGGATTTTCCAATATGTATTGCATTAAAGTCCCTAAATATTTAGTCACAACAAAAAAGCGATGAATAGTGGAACGTCATGATGTACTTCAAGTAAATATACTGGGCCCAATCAAAGCGGATCGATCCATATGCTGTCACCTAGAGTGTGGCGACTAACAATTTATTATCTCTGTTGGAGTGAACAATCATTTGATCAATTCCTTAACCGTGTATGGCGTATTCCTTTGTTCCCAGTGATGGGTCGTAGCGATTCTTTCTCACGGATAAATAGCCAAAAATCCTACGTCATTGATATTGTGCTGTATTTGAAGAAACAACGATTTCCAGATATAGTTGTCAAAGTGAGTGCCAAAAAGAGGAATTTGATTTTTCACGTTATTTAATTAGGATCTGTCCAGGATTTGTGACAGCATAACAGTTTTTACGCCTGAACGCCATTTTCGCCTTCACGTGGCCGTCCTCTTCTCCACTGTTGAAGCTGTGTATATTGTGATCATGAACTTTATGTATTATGCATGAATTTTAAAAGAAAAACAGGTATAATTTCGTTATATCTCACCAGCAGCAGCTGTGAACTCCCTTGTGTGGTTGAGACAGCCCTCAACCCCGACGTCGTACATGGGGTGGATACTAGGTACGACGTAGGACACGTTTCCCATGTCTGTGGAACCCATAGCTGTTCCTGCCAGTTTTTCCTGCGGCGTGAACTCAACACCAAGACCCTCAGCATTATCGACAAAGGCATTGGCCAGCGTCTTGTTGGTAACAACGTTGGCGTAATTCCCTCGTGGATTATACTGGTACTCCGCCTGAATCAGATCACAAGTGTACATGGAACTACATGTGAATCAACAGTGCGCAAATAACATTTTCAGATTTTCTCCATATACTACACTGATTGGTTACCGTATTGATGTCAAGGAAAATATTTATTAGTTTCTGACTGTTACGGACCCTGCATCCTGACATATACAGGCTGGACACCCTGTTAAAATACTGCCACATGCTGATAAGAGACTGTTAACATGTTGCTGGAAACCTGTCCTACTCATCAGACCCTGTTGACACCCTACCAGATACTCATCAGAGATTATGTTCGGATTCTGACAGTCTTTGGACTCCCGGTTAACACACTACCAGATACTCATCCCAGGCCCTGTTTACATGCTGCCAGATACTTATCACATTCTCTCTTAACACCCCACTACATACTCACAAGACGCCCTGTTAACATGCTTCCAGATATACAGACTCTCTTAACATCCTCATACATACTCACAAGACGCCCTGTTAATTATAACATGCTTCCAGATACTGGCCTGCCACCCTGTTAACATTTTCAACAACACCGACTGGACAATCTCTACACACTCTGCCAGAGGCTCACATTTAACAATGTTGACATCTTGTAAGCTACACCTTGTTAAGGTCATGGCATATACTGACCGTGCACCCTGTGGCTGAAGCAGCAGCCTCTATACACTTGGACACTTTCTCCTTCAGAACGTTCAGCTCAGCGTCAGTGGGTGCCCTCAAGATGTACTCCAGTTGCGTCAACTCAGGTATGATGTTGGGCTTGGCCCCGCCATTATTGATGATTCCTTAACCAACGTTAGATGTCAGTTCACAGATCAGAGCATAATGAATATTACAAAGACATACGTTTGTGGCCCTTCGTCAAAGATTGGGTAATTTATTATAGATAGGTGGGCTGGTAGGATTGGTCTCAGGATGAGTGAGTGAGTGAGTTTGGTTTTATGCCGCTTTTAGCAATATACCGGAAATATCAAGACGGGGGACACCAGAAATGGGCTTCACGCATTGTACCCGTGTCGGGAATCGAACCTTGGTCCTCGGCGTGACGAGCGAACGCTTTAACCTTCAGGCACCCTATTTTATGTAACACCCCCCGCCATCCAACCCCCCCTCTCCCCAAATGCATGGCACATTTCTTCTGGACCCATAGACACACTGCTCTGAACATACAATAAGTATATATACAATGCTATGCCTGTATTCATATGTTAACATATTCAGAATTGGTTGCAGAATTGGTTGGGACTCATCCAGCTATGTACATTAGGAATAGTTTATATCACGGCTTGTCAGATTGATTTGAGAAGAATGACCGAAGTGACACATTTGTATGTTTGAAAGGTTTATCACATTGGCAATTCACTTTAGCCTCATTCCGATAGGTTCTTATGTCCAGAACTGACGACCGCCTCCGTGGTCTAGTGGTAGAGCGGAAGGTCCGGGATTCGATCCCCGGCCGCGTCATACCAAAAGACGTTAAAAGATGGTACTTGTTGTAACCCTGCCTGGCGCTCGGCATTAAGGGGCTACAACAAGGACTGGTCGGCTCAGAGTCAGTATACTGTGTCTGAGTGGGGTATTCATGTTAAACTGCGGCATGGTATCTCAGTGAGCTAGCACTATAAATCGGCGTCAGTCCGGACTAGTACAAGCAGCCACACACACACACACACGTGCATGCACGTCGCTATATAAGTGCAATAATCCTGGACGCGACGTTAAACCCATTTTCACCTCACCTCACCTCACCTCACCTCACCTCACCTCACCTCACCTCACCAGAACTGACTGAAACTACGTACCATGCACTCTCCAGTCAGGCTTCATCTGTTGTCTGAGGCAGGAGATGTTCTGGTAGCACAGGACGGCGGCGTCAAGAGCGTTGATGCCGTTCCAGGGAAATCCCGCAGCGTGAGATGCCTTGCCGTGGAACTTGATATTGCATCTAAACCATATACATATTCGATACACAGTATTTCACGTTTAAATCGTGTCTGCTTAATATGGTATGAAAGCCAAAGTGACGCAGGTAAAGATAGGATAGTGAACCGCTCTTTAAAATGCCGAATTACATTACATTATACATGCTATTATTTTGTGGAATTGATAATTTCAGCCCGAATTGATAATTGACACCACAAGCTCCCCAATTAAACACATTAAACTACAAATTATAAGAATCATTATGAGCGTTGAGTGAGTGAGTGAGTGAGTTGGGTTTAACGCCGCTTTTAACAGTATTCCAGTTATATAGCGACGTGTCAGCTTAATGTGGGAGGAAAGCCCGAAGTGATGCAGGTCTCAGACGTTTACCGATTCGGTGAAACCCACGAGCTAGGGTATGGTGCTGACAAACCTAGAAACATAATCGGGACCAACCGGGATTCGAACCCACGATCATAGGTTTCTGGCGTGCCCAAGGGACGCAACTCTGCACAGCGAATCGCGGCGCCTTAGACGACTGGGCCACCAGTGCCCCCTTATGAGCGATAATGGAGTAAAACGTCGCGTTCAAGACTTTACGCTCCCTGGGTAGACGCTTTGCAACTAGATCAAGGAGGCGGTCTTGCGATGATGGTAGAGTCATGATGTTGCTGCCGAAGTTGTATATCTTACCCTATTGCGGACAGGCAGTAAGGGAACGCTGTTGCCATAGGCGACGGGTGCGCCATCATCGCAATATCAACATCATCAAAGACTTTGGCGTTGATGAAATCAATTTTGCCACCTCCTCCCTCTTCTGCGGGAGTGCCGAGAACAGTTAGCTGAAACACAAGACAAATACACTCGTGCATACATTATTTTATCACCAAAAGGCTATTGGACTAACCATTTAGGTTAGTTATTGATATGCACAGTAACCACTAGCATTTATTTATTTATTTTATCTATACCCACTATAGGTGTCGGGAGTTTCATTGCTTTGACGTCACGCCGAAGACCCGGGTTCGATTCCTGACATGGCTACAATGTGTGAAGCCCATTTCTGGTGTCCCCCGCCGTGATATTGCTGGAATATTGCTAAAAGCGGCGTAAAGCCAAAACTCACTCATTGCTTTGATCCATTCACAACAAAGACATATACACTCGTGCATACAGTATCTTATCACCCCAAGGCTATTGGACTAACCATTTAGGTTACTTATTGATATGCACATTAACCACTAGCATTTATTTATTTATTTTATCTGCACATGTACCAACTATAGGTGTCGGGAGTTTCATTGCTTTGATCCATTCACAACAAAGGGTGTCAAAGATTCATTTAAATTGCCTAAAAAGTACCCGAGACCCAGCCCAAGTCATTCGATTCACTTCGCAGTATCAATTTGACACATTTCTCAGTGAAAGTTTACATACATGTACACGTTTAGCGAAATATGTCTTTTTATATGTTGTACATATACCTTGTGTATTTGACAATATGTCTATATATATTTGAGCCGAACTTATAATTATATAATATATGTTGTAGCAGGATCACGGGGTACATGTGGTTTTATGCGTCACGTATTAGGTTAGTGGTATAAAAACTAACGGGGAACGTTGATAGCCGATGGTACCCGATATGTTTTATTATGTCATTGTAAAAGAATTAAGACAAAATCAAAATTGATAAAAATCAGCTGTTCGATTGAGCTGAGGTGCTAAAATAGGTGACTTTCATTGACTCGGAAAAAACGTGCGGGGGCGGTGTATAAGTGATTTATCCTCCCGCTCAGAAAAGTATTTCCCTACTAGGCGGCATACAAATTAAATTTGGTAAGGTTATGTAAACTAATCAGATCTCATCACGCTGACATGAAGTTATGATAACTATGCCTATCCATAATCGGTGCGTGCTTATGTACAATGTAATAGCTATTAATTAATAAGTAAAAACATACAAAGAAACCACACACACACACACACACACACACACGCACGCACGTACGCACGCACGTACGCACGCACGCACGCACACACACACATGTATATACATACATCACACCAACAACGTTGGTTGATGCATGAACGCCGTTGCATAAGTGCAAACATCTCTATAACGTTAAGGAAGCACGGGTGGCCCAGTCGTCTAAGGCGCCGCGATTCGCTATGCAGAGTTGTGTCTCTTGGGCACGCCAGAAACCTATGATTGTGGGTTCGAATCCCGGTTCGCTCCGATTATGTTTCTAGGTTTGTCAGCACCATACCCGTGCTCGTGGGTTTCACCGAAGTGGTAAACGTCAGAGACCTGCATCACTTCGGGCTTTCCTCACACATTAAGCTGACACGCCGTGATATAACTGGAATAATGTTAAAAGCGGCGTTAAACCCAACTCACTCACTAACGTTAAACTCCGTGTCACATTACCTACATCTACACCGAGCCTTACATTTCGTAAGTGGTATGCATGATCGTTGATATAATCTATCAACCTTCAAGCTGCAAGGTATAGATATAACACCTTGACCTTGACCTGTCAAGGGTATCAGGAAATCCCACATCAGTCTAGGGTCAACGCATTCATCCTTAGTGATATATGTATCTCTTGCGTGAATTGTTTGTTTGATAACAGAAACGTGTACTGCTTTCCAATCAGCGCATTGCAATTGGGCGAATATGTGTTACCATTTTCATTGTTTCAGATAGTGTTCTACATCGTTATACAGTTCCCCACAGGGTAGCAAGATTATCTTCTTTATAAGGCATGTATAATATCTGGCCACCCTTACAATTTATGAGCAAAGAAATGTATGCACACTGCTTTCGTTCATAGATATTTGTACAGTCGATCCTTGTTGTGTCGAACTTGGTTGTCTCGACCTCATTTGGGAGTCCCATGTTTTGCAATTAAGCACATAATTCTACTAACGTCTCGGCCCCCAGATAACTCGATTTTTTTCACGTCCTAAGGAGTTTGACACAACGAGGTTGGATTGTATTTGTGAACATTCTGAAATAGTGACAATTATCTTATATATTATTATGTATCATGATCAGTGGGCATATATTTATTATATTATGTTAACATAATGTAAAACTAAATAAAATCGTGATATAATATCCACCCAATACACAATTAGTCATAGATATATAGTTAGCAGTGACTCAACGAAATCACTCAATGTCAGGTTCAGCTGTGTGATCACAGCTTTACATGGGAGGGAAGCCACACAGTGGTATTATACAAGTACAAACTGACCTTTCCTCCCGTTCCTGTAGCCTGTAACGCCGCCTTCACCCCAAGGCCCGCTGCCACGCCCACTTCAGCAATCAGGTTGTGGCCACAAGCGTGTCCGATCTCCGGCAGGGCATCATATTCACACAGTACGGCCACATGAGGACCTGTCCCATCTTGACCAAACACTGCCCTGAACCCTGTATCCAGTTTGTAATTCCTTTCAACCTCAAATCCATGTTTCTCAAGAAAATCGGTCAGTACCTTGTGAGCATTTATCTCCTCAAAATTAAGCTCAGGCTTTTCCCATATGGCATGACTGACTTTGTTCAATTCATCTGCATACCTGTCAATTTCTACGCAAGCTGCATCTTTCAGTGGTTTTGCCGTCATCTTGTATGACCAGTGCGCTGTTTGTTCTGAGTAACGTGGCGATCATAAGACTCCTGCTTAAAGTGACACGACTTTGTCGATTAGTATGCATCTGTACTGACCCCGCATACAACAAGGGCACCGTGACTTGCTTAAAATGATAGCCCTGACTCTGCATTTGAATGAGGTAATCATACAAGTCGACGCAGTTTAACATAAACACCCGATTCAAATTTTGAATGTCTGTTTTTACCGTTTACTGTGATAATTGACTGAAAGTTTAATAATCTTCTTATCATTTTTTGTTTGTTTTTCAAACCACTGGAATATTGCTGATATGGTTTAAGGCAACACTCACTCACTCACTCACTCACTCACTTACTCACTAATTAAAGGTGGCTATTACAATATTAATGGAGACGTCTACATTCTGAACCATTTGAGATGCTTCAAATGCCGAAAAATACGGCCATGGTGTCAATACTTGCACATTGTCTGTTACATGGGCTCAATGCAGTGAGAACTTTAAAAATTGCATCAACTGCACAGGAAATCACTCATGCTTCTCTAAAGAATGCCCTTTCTGGAAACATCAAATGGAGATCAATCAAATTAAATTCAGAGGGAATATTTAGTTTTGCTGATGCCAAAACACTTGTTTAACTCAAAAGGTAAAATACATCTCTAATAATGACCTGTGCATATTTAATGATCCCAACACTTACATAGAGCTATATCCTGCAATTGCACCTACTCTCGTCTCGTACCGATTCTTACCTACCCAATGAAATTGAATTGTCAGTCCACAATGACCTTTGTAGAAGTAACAATTTCCCAATTATCATTAAAGCAATAAATCCATGTGATATTCCACCTTCAACTAATTTACAAAGACTAAATGGCATTTTCTTTCGCATCAGCTATGTGTTGAAACTGGGAGATAATATCCCACGTGACAGAAGATTATGTTGTTTTTGTCATGCTGGGTATGTGGAGGACGAGTATCATTTGTTGTTAGTTTGCCCCGGTTATAAGTTATAGGTGGATCACTTCCAAAGGCAATATTGTGCAAATCCGACCGAACAAAAATTTCATATCATTATCTCTACAAATGATTGTAAATTAATTAAACGTCTAGCTGTATATATACTGAACCGCAAAAGAAACATTACCATGGGTAGATATATGAGAAACCTTATTTGTCCAAACAGTGTAAAACTATTTAAGACATATTAAAAATATGAGACTTGGCAAAACCTATCATCAAGGTTGAAAATAAAGTGTCAAATGTTCTTAAAGTGAAACACAGCACTAGTCTCTGAGAAAATGGCATCGCAAGTCAGTATCTCGTGTGTCCGCCACGTATCTCGTGTGTCCCGCCGTGCAACGTCGATACATGGAACGGATGAGGCGGTTGATGAAGGCCATAGGCACTTGAGCCCACATTCTGAGGAACACCTGACGCAGTTCAGCTGCAGTTGTCGGCCTTGGCCGGACGTCATTCAGCCATCTTTGAATATCGTCCCACATGTGCTTAATGGGATTTAAATCAGGACTGAGGGCAGGCTACTGCAAGATTCTGATGCCATCTGATGCCAGGAAGTCTCTTGCTGCTCAATCAATGTACCGAGCTGCTGTAACAACATTGCCTCTTCCTGGACCGATGTTCTGGAAGACCACCGAGCCGACCCTCTGTGCAAGATCAATTCCACCCCACACCATGATGCTCGGACCACTCCACCTAGTCTCTCTCAACAGCACAAGTATCCGAATAACGTTTCCCACGGCGTCGCCAGACTCTCTCTCTGCCATCAGCTGTTGAGATGCAGTAACGGTTCTTGTCTGAGAAGAGGACTCTTCTCCACTGCTGTTGGCGCCAATGCTAGTGCTGTGTTGCCCATTGAAGACGAAGACGACGATCCCGGCGATGACGTGGTGTCAGAACGGGTCCTCGGTGTGGCCTGTGACATTGGAGGTGTCAATCGTCGACGCACGGTGTATGCACTAATGTGTCGCTGTTGTGTCCCCATGGTCTGTCGACAAGTAATGGGGGAACGCATGTGCATTTGACTTGGCACGGAACTCACGTTCATCGGGTTACCATGGCCGTTGCCGTGATGCATTTTGGCGATCGCTTTTATTGTCATCTGCATGTTTTTTTTATCATCAAATTTAATTTTTTTCGGACAAGGTTATGTTAAATTTTAGAAACATTGACAAAAAATACCCAGATATTTAAATGACAACTTTTCATGCAATGTTACTCTGGGTGACGTTTCTTTTGCCGTTCAGTATACAATGCATATTGGTGTGTTAAGTAAAAACAAAAGTGACACATTAGAATGCACATTTGTACCTTTTATAACGACTTATAAGGATAGACTATCGACAAAATAAACGATATGCTATTTTAGATTTTAAGATGACACTAGCTGTTCATACATTCTGTGAACAAGGATTTCAATAGTTATGCCCTTTTGAACAGTAGCATCCGTCGTTAGTGACTGTTGATATCACACTGGAATAAATTGTACTTGCATTCAAGGTGACGATGACGCATTCGGGGGAAATCACTATTTGACAGATGTAAGCTAAAAGCACTTTTGGTACAGAACGGATTTGATGACAGCGACTCAAAACAAGTTAAAGAACGCCCACACTAAGAAGGGTGTGTGTTGCAATACCTACCGGCCATGACAGATTTACTGTAGTCATATGATAAAACTAGGGTGTTCTTTAACTTATTTTAAATAGTATATGGAACACACATACAACTGCAAAATAGTTCTTAAGCTAATAGTTCATATCCCTGCTAAAGTCCTCATAGATCTCTGCCTGGATATCTTGTGATGTGTAGACATCAACAGCAGTCATGGCCAGGGCCTTACCGATGTCCAACGTGTAGGGCTGTGCTTCAGGTGAACCTGGAAAAAATCATGTTCAACACATAGAAATGTCATTTCAGCGTCTGTTGATATGAAAGCAATGAACTGAAGCCGATTTTAGAAGGAAATCTACACAAAGAAATATCTAACGCAAGATAGGTTGCTGAAAGGTTCAGAGCTTAACCATGATGGACTGCGTTTATGGAGTTACAAGCCAATCACATTTTAACAAAATCCCCTCCGAGGTCCACACACTTCTGCTTATTATGCTGGAGTGACTGAATCGCACAAGTGTAGAAGGCTAGGTGGTGTAAGAAGTCCTCCTCAGCAGAGACGGCCTATGTGGTCTAGTGGCAGAGCGTTCGTCCCCCGGCTACGTCATACCAAAAGACTATAAAATATTGTACTTGCTGTTACCCTACCTTGCGCTCGGCATTAATGGGCTAAAACAAGGACTGGTAGGTTCAGAGTATCTGGCATGGTATCTCAGTGGGCAAGCACTATAACATCAGCATTAGTTCAGACTAGTACAAGGTGGCCACACTCATACACATGCCTGCACATCGCTATAAAAGTGCAATAATCTTGACGTTTAACCCCATTTCACCTCACCTCATCACATCAACAGCAGAATGACGGTATCATCTTTTGCATTATGAGTCCCAGGCAGATTGCACTTCAAGTATCGGAAGAGGTGGGCATATGGCGATTCCAAATCTGGCAAATACGGTTGATGTCCAATGAATTCAAGGCAACAGACGTTCGGAGGAGCAACACAGCATCAGTGAGTTGTCTTGGACGTTTAGCCTTCATATTGTCATGCAGTGCTCACACAGATTATCATAACTTTGGCCTTTAATAGTCTAACCTTTGAAGTAGTCCACCTGTAGAATTCCTTTAGAATCCCAGAAAACCAATGCCATCGTCTTGCCAGCTGATGGAACTATATTTGCCCTTTACAGAGTAGACGTTGGACTGTTTCCGCTGGTTTGACTGCTGTTTAATCTCTGGTTGATAGTGGTGAACCCAAGACTCATCTATAGTTACGAATATCTCAACAAAATCAGTCAGTAGCCTTGGAACCCAGCGTGCTTAAACCTTTAATATTCCCATTTCTTTCCTGAGAATGTTCTCCATTATCTCCTGTGAGATGACTTGTGGAGAGTAGTCAATCCTCCAAAATTATAAAATGCATTTTATCAACATTTTTATCAGTAGTGGCAGTTGAAGGTCTGCCTGATCGCGGCTCATTTTTGAGGCTCTAAGATCATCCTCCTCTAAGGTGGACACCATTTCCTCACGAGTGGCATTTGGAGATCGTCCTTCAGTTCGAGATACTTCATGACAACGTGGTAGCCAATTTTGCTCATAAGTCATCACCAAAGAGTACAAAGACACTTTGATAACTGAAGAAACGTGCTGCCCGGTTGTGTATTTGGTTCAAATGCAGCCTTTAAGCATGGACATTTACTAATGTGCTAAAAACACACTGTACGGGGGTAAGTAAGTGATGGAGTGAGTAAATATTTGCAGCGAGACACTGTTTGGGATATGCAGTACACCCTTCGTAGTTATGCTCATCATCTTACAGCCACATTTCTTATGTTTGAAATCAAAACCACTAGGCAATATTTATTTTATTATCCAATATCACTATGAAGCAATTAAATATGGCTAACCTGTTTTTCATTTATAAAACAAGTTAATGTCTGAGACCATTTGGGCTCATCATGGTGCAAGATATCATCAACATATCCCTTAAGAAATCACCCAAAATGTTCATGATCTTTAAATGCCAACAGTGTGGAGGCCATGCTGAATCTCTTTTGCTCAGTTTTAGTGATCTTTCGCCTGTTGGTTTACAATTGTGTCGAATTCTCTTCCTGACATCATATTTTAGAAGTTTGTCAGATCACAAGACTCATATAGTACTCTCAACAGTATTTTTTCGTCGTTGTGTTTGTTTATAATGATTTAATCTCACCAGCAGCCGCTGTGAACTCCCTTGTGTGGTTGAGACAGTCCTTAACCCCGACGTAGTAGATAGGGTGGATACTAGGTACGACGTAGGACACGTTTCCCATGTCTGTGGAACCTATGCACACACCTTTCAGCTTTTCCTGCTGGGTAAACTCAACTCCAATAACCTTAGCATTAGCAACAAAGGCATTGGCCAGAGTCCTGTTGGTTACAACGTTGGAGTATTCCTTTGGGTCGAACTCGTATTCAACCTGTGACATTCGAAACATGAACATCACTTTTCGACTTGATAACATAGGTAAGCATGTGTATGTATATGTTTTAATACTCTCTGCGTTCAGAGTAAGAGAAATCGTAGATTTTATCCAGTAAACATTTATTCCATTTAAGTAACGAAATACTACTACTCTTCACCTTTCCAATTATGTTTTAGACTCGCCACTCACTTTTTTTTATTTATGCATGCATGTAGATTAATGTGTTTAAGTATGATTAATAATATAAATAAGTTGGATACCGATTTTGTAAGCACAGACGATTGACCTCCCTCAGTTGTAACAGAGTTATTGATTTACGTGTATTCTGTAGGATGGCCACCCGGTTCATGATATTCACCTAGAAATTAATTAAGCACCCCACTGGTTGTCCGGGCCATAGCTGTACAACAACAAGGTATCATTGGCTTAAGGCCTGAGCTATAGTGGAGAATAACATGTCTTGTGTAAGATGAGACTCTTCACTAATGAAACAACAGAGAATGTTCAATATTTTCATTGCACTTATAACACAGTTGCGATAGTACTGTAATTGAGCAAAACTTGATAACCACGAAAAGTATGGATCTCGAAAGTTCCATGATCTGGTATGAGCGACCATTGCTGTACAAAAAAGTTAATTGTTATCTTACAAAAATCCTGAAAATTAGTAACAAGTGTAAACGCCCTGAGCCTTGATGACAGATTCAACCCATCCTGTTTCCTCTAGTGAGTCTTCTGATACGATCACGAGTTAACTGCTGCCACTCCCGATGCTATGCAGCCTCTAAAGCTGCACACATTCTATACTGGTGGGTCCATTGCCTGCAGCTAACGTCCAAAATGTCCTCAACATGTCAATAGCTTGGCAAAGTATCAATAGCATAAATGCAGTCACAGCAGTTAGCGTTGTCGCCACACAAACACAGGTCGAGTGGCAAGAGCATGACCGTCAAAATGTGGCACAACAACAGGATTCAGGATGTCCTGTGTGTGACTATCACCGATAAGATTGCCTCGTACTCGTGCCTTGTGCAGATTACAGTCCTGAGATATTACTCCCCACACCATGGCGGAGCCTCCAGCATACGGGACTGTTGATGCAATGTTCCTAGGGGAATAAGGAGTGTTTCTGTGTCTCCAAACCCGCATCCGCCCAACTGTGCCGTGCAGCAAGAATCTGCTTTCATCAGACCAATGGAACCGTCGCCAAGTATACAGATTCCCATGACATCGAGCCATACACTAAACTAGGGCTGGGACGGGTAACTCGGGTACCCGGGTCGGGTGGGTACTGAGTAGGACTGTAGGACCCACAGTACTACCCGGACCCGTGGTTAGTCACGTGATATATTGTTTAATGACAAACACTCTATACAGTACAGATCAGTGGTTACACAACAGGTCTCTAATGATTTCTGACAATGCACTCACTCTTTCTGACTTTTCATATGGTTGAATATAGATATAAATTAAGTCAACTTCAGTTTATGCATGATCAGATTGTTTAATACTTGTATCTAAATTCGTTTTGCCAAGGCTATGGTAAAAAAAATCCAACAGACATTTTATACCTTTCTCTTGAGACCTACAGTGGGTACCCGGGTAGGGTCGGATAGTATGGGGTTGGGTACCCGGGTAGTACATTTTGACTCGTCCCAGCCCTACATCAAACCAATCGGATCTAATGCGCAGTTAACAAGGGACGTCTGATGACCCTCCGCGACTTCAAAACAAATGATTGTATCCAGTTTTGGACAGTTCTGGTGAACAGATGACTGTTGGGAAGCCATTGTTCTTTCAGAGCTCTGTCTTCCCGTACAGTTGTCTTTCGGGGTGGCCCTGGTCGTGGACGGTCCTTTCCATCACGTGTCTGTTGGTGTTGTCTTACGAGTCTGCTGATGACAGCATGGTTATAGCCAAGTTGACGCCTCATGGCTCTATATCACATAACTGTGTCATGCATGCCATGTCCAACGGAGTACCCTGACAGCCTCCTGCGTGTCATGGTTACATGTGCTGACTAAACATTTGGATAACTGACACTTTATATACCCTTAATTGCATCATTATCTAAGTGCTTTTTCTGTAACTCGAGGGTATCGTACTAAGGTGTATATGTATCATCTGTTTTTTCTCTCAGAGCGACACAGTAAGTTATTGTCATGACTATACTAGAGATCGACAGCTATTCTATGAATGAGTATCATGAAAGTTGATTTTTTATAAACGGGTTTATCACTGTTCTTTATTTTGTCAGGAGGTATTTTATAAATGTCTAGGTGTAAAGATTTCCAACACTCTATTGTCTGTACATTGGATTAGGGAGTTACACTTCAGTAACGTGGGTAAATGCGTTGCATCGTAAACTAAGGGTTTCAAACGTTGGTCATAACATTAACCTCTAGTTTGTCTTGTCCGAATTGTTTACATGCCTTGAAAAAGATTGTTGATTGTGATTTTGCATGTTTACCACTCTAATTACACGAATCTTTCTCTGCAGACGCGTTTATGGATTCTACAAGACAATTACCATTAAAAATTTTACAAACTGAAATAAATTTCTACCTCATATATAGATTAAAAATTGTCAGACTTCTGCCCCACACTCACGATACTCTCTTTTTACCGGACATAAATCCTGTTTACATTTTGCAGATTAGACAGTAAACAATCAGTCAGATGTAAATATTAAATTATCTTAACATTTTGTGAGCTGCTGCCGATACACCCAGGAATGGTTCTTCTAGATACTGACCGTGCATCCTGTGGCCGAAGCAGCAGCCTCTATACACTTGGACACTTTCTCCTTCAGAACGTTCAGCTCTTTGTCTGTAGGTGTCCTCAGGGAGTATGCGAGTTCTGAGACCTCAGGAATGACGTTTGCCTTCACACCTCCTTTCTTTATGATTCCTGTACTCACAAATGATGTAGTTAAATGGACATTGCGTCGCAACAGGCGAAGGGGGTATTATGAATAAAATAGTAAAAAAAAATGTAGTTCGTCATTTCCATTGATTGGCCAGAGAACTATTCCCTGCAAAAAAATGAATCGTAAAAGTAGTAAAATCGTAAATATCTTAGTGTTGCCGACATCCATACTAAATTAATACCAAAAATGAATTGGTCGTTTTTGCATGGATTGGGATTAATTTGTGTGGAAAGAATGAGGTACTGCAGGAAATTGGTGAACAGATGGCGCCTGGCGCCGAAACACACCAACATGTCCTGCACGTGCAACATCACTTGTTTGGCTGTAAAAACGTGGGGTTTTCATTTTCATGCCATCAGTCCTACAGCGAGTGAACAACGAAAACATGCCACGACGACGGCAGCCCAACGCAACAACGCCATCTAAAGAGAGATATATTCATCGCTGCTTTCATGAGTATTTCAGTTATATCACAGTATGTCACTTTGGTGAGACCCAGAGGCACGGGATATTTACAACAATAACAGCAACTGAAAACAGGAGAATCATATTCAGATTTAGCAAGGTTTCCAACGTAGTACCAAGTACCACTACAAGACTCTGGAACCGTATCCGGTCGACCACGTATCACTCCCAGAGCACATGACAGATTCATACGGCTACGCCACTTACGTGAAAGAGCCACCAAAGGCAATGCCATGATTGCGTAGGATGTTTTGCCCAGACAGCAAAAGACTTTCCGCGATGAAGGTATTCCGTTAGGCGACCAGTTCGAGGTGTCATTTTGACGGACCTGCATCGTCGACTGCCACGTCAATGATGTCAAAGTTACAGATTATGCCCACAACTGCGATGGAGACAAGTTGTGTTTAGTACAAGTCACGTTGTATTCTTCGAGAACTCCCAAAGACAACGCCCGACCTCACACGGCAAGACTGACAATAGCCTTTTTCAGGAATCACAATATCCAGGTCCTGCTGTGGCCCACCAGGTCTCCAGATTTAAACCCAATCGAAAATGTATGGGATGCACTGAATCAACGACTGCGAGCACGTCAGCAACAACACAACCTCCGAGAGTTGGCAAAAACACAACAAGCAGACTGGGTGAACATTCCCCGGGCCACAATCAGAAATCTCATTGCTTCCAAGGAACGACAGTGCCAGTCAATCGTGGCCATACAAGATATTGAGAACAGATGACCTTCACCTTGAGAATCTACTCTTCCATGTGTGCCATATGGAACCTGGTCCAATTCAATGATATGTGTCTATTTTGAGCAATCGATTACCATATTTTGGTTATTTGAATTATTTAGTTTGTTGTTTAACGCCGCTCTCAGCAATATTCCAGCTATATGACGGCGGTCTGTAAAAAATCGAGTCTAGACCAGACACTCCAGTGATGAATATCATGAGCATCGATCGACGCAATTGGGTTCGATGACATGCATCAACCAAGTCAGCGAGCCTGACCATCCGATCCCGTTAGTCGCCTTTTACAACAAGCATAGTCACCTTTTACGGCAAGCATGGGTGAATGATTATATACATACAAGTATCACTTGTGTGGTTTTTTTTTGCAAGGGTTACTTGTCAACCACCTTTACCATGCACTCTCCAGTCAGGTCTCATCTGTTGTCTGAGGCAGGAGATGTTCTGGTAGCACAAAACGGCGGCGTCAAGAGCGTTGATGCCGTTCCAGGGAAATCCCGCAGCGTGAGACGACTTGCCATGGAACTTGATGGTGCAGCTGTTGAAACAAAGATCCTATGCTACTCAAAAACGTTCAGGGCCACCAGATTCTTTTATGTGACTATAGTTGATCTGTCATACCAAGAGAGCATAACAATAGTAATATGAAAGATATATGTTATGAGTAGTATATTTTACCTGGTAAAATGTTTGTGGAAGAAATATTAGTATGAATGACATGGATCAAGATATGAACAGCCACATATACAATTTATGCCATTTCGTGTCATTTTGAGTGTGGCGACATCATAATGATAAAGGGGCACTGGTGGCCCAGTCGTCTACGGCGCCGCGATTCGCTGTGCAAAGTTGCATCCCTTGGGCACGCCAGAAACCTATGATTGTGGGTTCGAATCCCGGTTCGACCCGATTATGTTTCTAGGTTTGTCAGCACCATACCCGTGCTCGTGGGTTTCACCTAAGTGGAAAACGTCTGAGACCTGCATCACTTCGGGCTTTCCTCCCACATTAAGCTGACACGCCGCGATACAACTGGAATACTGTTAAACGCGGCGTTACATCCAACTCACTCACTCACTCATAATGATAAATAAAGTCAATTGATCACCTGAAAAAACACTGGAACATATGAAACAAGTTAAAATTGGAATTGCATCGGACATCATTGTTGTCACTGATGTGCCAAATTTGGAAATGTCCTCCACATGTCTACCTTGATACGTTTTGAAAGCTTTACTTTCGAGGCCTTGATTATTGTAACCTTGATCAAACAACTTCTGAGCAAGAGTTGTAAGACACTCTTTGAAATCTTCGAATTGAAGGAATGCTCGATTGTACCTCAAAAGTTGTGAAATGTAGACACCAAGTGCTGGAGCTGCTGGACATAAAGGGAAAGTGGACTGAAACATGACAATTGTCAAGATATGAACAGCCACGTACACAGTTTTATGTCAAGTGTCATTTTAACTACAGTGTAATCATAATGATTAATGATAGATTATATCAATAGTGTATATATCTTACCTTACGACGGCCAGAAACAAAGGACATGCGGTTACATATGGCGAAGGATGCGCCATCATCGCAACATCAACATCGTTAAAGACGTTAGCGTTGATGAGATCGAGTTTACCACCACCATCCTCTTCAGCTGGAGTGCCCAGAACAGTTAACTTAAAGAAATGGACATTTCGCAATTTAGCAGGTCCAATCAGAAGCATTTCATTTAAACTGTCTGCTTTGAATATTATCTCAGTTTCTAGTGTGTCAGGCGCGTCCGCTTGGCGAGGGAGGAAAACTCAAGGTAATGAAAGTCTTAGACGTTTAAAATTTGGAGAAACCCACTTACACCGACATACTGCAAAGTGATGGAAGTCTCATGATCAGACGTTTGAATCATGTATCTTATTCAGGACAGATTGTGGAATCGAACCCACGATCATTGAAGGCGAGGGGAGGAAGGGCTGCTATTGTAAGGAAAAAAGAAATTGTCCCAGAAAACGCTTGAAAAATGCTTAATGACCTTTAGGAAAAAATTGCTTGGCACACAAAAACATACATTGTTGCAAAATGTTTTTACCGAATAATATTAAGACTCATGGTGTTAATTAAAACAATATCTGGTTTTGCAGATGTCAGATCACGTCTCCATACAAGCCACAATATCTCGAACATGACGCTACACCTCATTTAACCTCCCATTTCTACAACAAATGATACCACACATGATTCCCTGAGAGTCAACACTGCGTGATATCAGTACAACTGACCTTCCCTCCCTTTCCTGTAGCCTGTAGTGCCGCCTTCACTCCAAGACCCGCTGCCACGCCCACTTCAGCTATCAAGTTGTGACCACAAGCGTGTCCGATCTCTGGCAGGGCATCATATTCACACAGTACGGCCACATGAGGACCTATTCCATCTTGACCAAACACTGCCCTGAACGCTGTATTCAATTTGTAATTCCTCTCAACCTTAAATCCATGCTTCTCAAGAAAATCAGTCAGTACTTGGTGAGCATTTATCTCCTCATAATAAAGTTCAGGTTTTTCCCATATGGTCTGACTGATTTCATTAAGGTCAGCCGCATACCGGTCTATTTCCATACATGCTGCATCCTTCATTGTTGTTGCCGCCATCCTGCGTGCAACAGCGTTGTGTTAGTAAAAGCAAAAACTCGATGGGACCTTAATCAGAAAACGAGTGTCATGCTCATCACACTGATATTCATACAGTTCACGTCGTATTCCTATTAACTGCAATGTCTCAGTGACTCGAGGTGAAAATAGACTTTCGAACTTATGTATATTTGATGACCGTGATAAACTGGGGCACAACAACGATAGCGAGAGATGAGGTCGAAGTTCGTTAACAGGATATCATTGGCCTGTCGTTAAAGTTATATGTTCATGGGTATACTCTACATAAATCCTTTTAAAGCAACACTTACCTGAAGAACATTTTTTGTGTACTATTAATCCTCGGCGATCTGTTAAAGTTTCAATGTATCTACGCTAGTGATAGGAGAAAAAATTATATTGGAAACGAAACGTTATTGATTTTGGCATGAGAAATAAGCTGCTGAAAAATTCAACTTTATCAATGAATATAACTGTACATATCTTTGTCTTAGGAGAACAGTGTTTAATTGTAATTAATACCGTTATGGTCATGTTTGATGAAGTATGGACAACCGTCATTACAAATTGAACCACTGAATTGCTTAATGGTATAGATGTTAAATAACAAGGTCTATTTCAGCAACATATCTTTGTAAGACGTAAGTTATTATTTTTGTTTATCTGCTAGATATTTCTGTTCCTCTGCTAGAGCATTTGACCTGTGTGTCTAAAAAATATACCATAAGCATCACTTAATACAGTTAATAAGTTAATACTCTCGTTAATAATATATTAAAATACAATATTGTCCTAATTCTCTAATTCTGCGGGGGTATTGTATATTTGCCTGCTGTTTGTTTGTAATTCGCAAATGCTGCATGCACAGAACGCGTGCAGTGTTTGTTTATTTTTTGTTTAATGCTGCACTCAGCAATATCCCGGCTACATGACGTAATGACGTTTTACTTTTTCTTCTCAATTATGTACTCAGTCTGTATCTTTCCATTGTAATGAATATTTTGACGTGACTACAGCTTGGCCGGTCTACCGGCCTACTGTGTCTGGGGACTTGATGCTTCTTGGCCGGTATACGGGCCTACGGTGTTGAGAGAGTAATAATAATTAGGCCTAAGCAAATTAAATTTGAAAACACAAAATCATTGTCAATATACCGGTACATCACAAACGTATCGCGATACGTAATTGTTTCATTTTCATATTGCGGTATACCGGTAATACCGTGCAGCCCTAGTAATGATATATGTAAATCAGGTTAAATCTGCCTTCAAAATCCGTATTGAGCTATAATGCCACTCACAGACAGTTGATGAAATCTATTGATGCGTGTCCTCAAGTAGGTCCACTTTTGTTTCAGCTAACTGACACTCTGTTCTGTGACGTGTTACTGCATTTATCGATGCCGGAGTGATGAAACGGTGATTTTATATAATCCCATATCAACTATATCCCGCCAACGTTTCCATTAGACTAAAACCATTTGCACAAGGAAGTGACAACATATGGTTAGGAAACGTAATGCAAACACGTGTGAATATTATGTATACATTTGATATCAAACAGTACCAACGTCATTTATTGTTTCGACAGTGGTACACTGTATGAAAACAATTAAACTGTGTTAATAAGGGTCCAGTAGACAATCCCCTTCCACTGATTTACCCGTCTGAGCTAGAAATAAGAAAAACGCTGATACCGTCGTCTCTTTCCTGCTTAGAGCATGAGGGTTCAGTGACAAAAAGCTATTCACAAGACTGTTTGACAAGATGTCCTCCTAAAGGATATACAGTTTCAAGACTGACTGCACAATATCTCACCACGAATTTAGTTGCTTAGAGTGAACGACTCTTTCAGATGACCTTGTTTTGCACATCACTATGATAGAGCTGAAATACACAGTGAAGTAAAACCAAACAATTTTGTGTGTGCATCATGTGGTGTTATTCAATTTTAGTTATGCCATTCGTGAATCTAAACCAGACAATTACAAATAACACTTATGGACACACATATATGACGAAGAATAGATCTGCACTTATAATTAGTCTAGTTATTAAACTTTAATTTTAAGCAGCACTTTCTGTATCACAGTTCAAAAGCTAAAATATTGTTATTCAATTCAAATACTCAGCAGGTAAACCATTCAATCAACAACACCCTGAATGTAACCTTCCCTCCTGTCCTGAAAAGGAGTCCAGGCAATAAAGTGTTAAACCTAGGACAAATTGCAAAAGTTTTCATTTTGCGTTTTTAGCATGGAATAACTTATATTAGTATTAAACATACTTAAAATGTACATGATTAATATTTTAAGTGGAACATATAAAAATCAAGACTTGAAATTATTGACCAAAATCGAGATGGCCGTTAGCCCAAACGGAGCTCCATACCAACAAAGGGCAAAAGCGCACGTCAACATTCTACAGAAGAAAATGTCAACGTTTTGGAAGATTTTCATCTTCTGCAACTGTTTTCCTTGGTGAGTATACACAGAATAACATAATAAAGTATATACCTATCCAGTGTTATATATATAACGTTAAATCTCACCTAAGTCAAACCTTTCTAGATCACGTTTGCCCCTGTTGAAAAGTATAAATTATGAACACTTTCCTTCAAACTGGATAATAAAATCATGATTGTTTAAGCATATATGTATAGAATCATAATTTATATAAATAGAAATGGCCAAGTTATACAAAATATTTGTAAAATTAATTGAATTTCCTTACCCCAGGCCTTTCATGGAAATAAAAAGTATGGAGGACTAGTTGTTCCAAAATCTTGTATGGAAGCAGGTAATTTGTATTTCTTTTATCAAAATTACATTATTCTAAAACATCTTTCTAAAATACTTTTTACGAAACTGTGTATTATTTTTCCTCCAATTTACTTCGATTTCTTTATCATAATATATCTATATCTTAGAATTGTTAAAACAAATGATGTGAGGGTAACTTTAAAAAAAAATTAAAAAAAGAGTTTATATACATGTATGGATGAACAACTTCTTTATTACAATTAGTAGCAATGTTAGAACCTACACCGAAACGTCGTTCCTAATTGTAATAAAAAAGTGTTCATACATAGGTCGATTCCTTACTATGCACCATCGCCATGATGGTCTGAGCAGATTCATCGTCAGCTACATACGAGTCATTGTTAATTTGCATTATCGACTATTAGAAGAAGAATTACGTATAACCAAGTCATTCTTGAGCCAGTTATGGGTTGTAAAGACACTGACATTAGGACAGACCTGCCCAGCTTACAACAGGTTTGAAAATTATAATGCTGGGGACACGGGGATAATCATATCCAGATAAGGACAGTCATGAGGACAAATACGATGGTGTCACCGATACTGGTGCGTGCTCTGGCTTAATAAGGAATGGGGAGTGAATCATTGAATCCAAATGTAGTTCGGCCCTTGCTTAACATTAAAGCAAGAACACTTGCTTTAAGAATAAAGCGAAGCAACACACTACGGGAGGAATATACACCATATGTACATGTACATTTATGTATGCCTCATAATTGCTTTCCGCTTTGTATCATGTCTCACCTTTTTTGTCAATTGATCAATCTTTATTCATTTCGTTTTGTAGGCAACATGTCCATTCTACATTACAGAGATACACGAAGAGAGAACATTCACAATACATCAATTAACATACAAAAGGCGTAAGCGCATAGATATATAAGTGGAAATACCTACATTTTGTGTATTGGATACATTATTTGTGACGTTATTATTTCAAACCTATGTAAAGTCAGGAAAAGATGGTATTTTCGAGGAATATATTTACATTACAAACAAACACAAAATTATATTTATTTTCATAAATGTTTTTGTTTGACAAACTAAAGATAATCAGTGGTGATTTAATTCCTTTTTTATATCGTCAAATCTCAAGCCTCACCTTATGCAATCTCATTAAAATCACACCTTAGTTCTCGCTACCGCTTAACAATAATCTGAAGACATCTCATTAGGGGTCACGTCAGAACGACCTTTCATCCGACCAATCAGTGCGTCGCTTACCAGATTATGAAAGTGGCGGTCGGAATGTGATTTCTAATCATGCAATCTCGAAAACTTTAACACGGGGTATTCCGAACGATAGTTACGGGTTTAACGACTGAATCTTACAATCTAGACCATCTATTAGCCATTCCAGAGCTGCCTTTTGCTTGGTCATTTGTTTGGTCGGTCAAAGTTCGCGCAAGGTCGGTCTGACGTGACCCGTAATGGGATGTCCTCTGATCTTTGTTTAGCGGTAGCGAGAACTAAGATCTGATTTTAATGAGATTGCACCTTATTATATGTATTCAAATTTGCATCCTGTCGTGTGAGGATGCATAGGTAATATGGGAGTGATTTTTTTATATTTTGTATGTGTATACTTGCAAAGTATCATTTTTCATTTAAACGTCTTTCTTTAAGACGTCACAGCACAATTGTATCCTAGCACCCATAAGGTCCCTTTTCCCCTGGTAAGTCACATATAATAAGCTCCAATGGATACACTATACTTGCTTCCTGTTCTTTTTTTTATCATAAAACGTCAATACAATTATTATTCAGTCTGCTTATTACTGCTCCCACAGATGACTGCTTAACTGTATTTCGTGTCATTCTTGAAGTCTCTTTTTATGTCCGACAGCATCCCCGGCAGTGTGTAGACGTCGATGGCTGTCATGGCGAGGGCCTTGCTGACGTTTAGTGTGACGGGTTGCGCTTCGGGAGACCCTGTGTACAATAATTCACATTCCTATCGTAATTATATAACTACATAGAATTGATTCAAGTGACAGTAAACACACAACAGTGGACAGTAGACACACAGCAGTGGACAGTAGACACACAACAGACAACAGTGGACAGTGGACAGTAGACACACACAATTGGATAGTAGACACACAGCAGTAAACAGTAGACCAACAACAGTGGACACAAAAGTGAACAATGGACACACAACAGTGGACAGTGGAGACACAACAGTGGGAAATAGAGACACAACAGTGAACAGTGGAGACACAACAGTGGAAAGTAGAGACACAACAGTGGACAGTGGACACACAACATTGGGAAGTAGAGACACAACAGTGAACAGTGGAGACACAACAGTGGGAAGTAGAGACACAACAGTGGACAGTGGAGACACAACAGTGGAGACACAACAGTGGGAAGTAGAGACACAACAGTGGGAAGTAGAGACACAACAGTGAACAGTGGAGACACAACAGTGGACAGTGGAGACACAACAGTGGGAAGTAGAGACACAACAGTGAACAGTGGAGACACAACAGTGGACAGTGGAGACACAACAGTGGGAAGTAGAGACACAACAGTCGACAGTGGAGACACAACAGTGGAAAGTTGACACACAACACACAACAGTGGACAGTAGACACATAACAACGGATAGTAGACACACAACAGTGGACAGTGGACACTCAACAGTGGGAAGTAGAGACACAACAGTGAACAGTGGAGACACAACAGTGGAAAGTTGACACACAACACACAACAGTGGACAGTAGACACATAACAACGGATAGTAGACACACAACAGTGGACAGTGGACACACAACAGTGGGAAGTAGAGACACAACAGTGAACAGTGGAGACACAACAGTGGAAAGTTGACACACAACACACAACAGTGGACAGTAGACACATAACAACGGATAGTAGACACACAACAGTGGACAGTGGACACACAACAGTGGACAGTAGACACACAACAGTGGACAGTGGAGACACATCAGTGGACAGTGGACATACAACAGATCAGTGGACACACAACAGTGGGAAGTAGACACACAACAGACAACAATGGACACACAACAGTTGACAGTAGACACACAACAGTGGACAGTGGAGACACAACAGTGGACAGTAGACACACAACAGTGGAGACTCAACAGTGGACAGTAGACACACAACAGTGAACAGTGGGCAGTAGACACATCAGAGTGGACAGTTAACCAGAAAAACAGTGGACATAGGACACGCAACAATGGACAGTGGACACACAACAGTTGACAGTAGACACACAACACACAGCAGTGGACAGTGGACACACAACAGTGGACAGTAGACACACAACAGTGGAGACACAACAGTGGACAGTAGACACACAACAGGGGACAGTGGAGACACAACAGTGGGAAGTAGAGACACAACAGTGGACAGTGGACACACAACAGTGGGAAGTAGAGACACAACAGTGAACAGTGGAGACACAACAGTGGAAAGTAGAGACACAACAGTGGACAGTGGACACACAACAGTGGGAAGTAGAGACACAACAGTGAACAGTGGAGACACAACAGTGGAAAGTAGAGACACAACAGTGAACAGTGGAGACACAACAGTGGAGACACAACAGTGGGAAGTAGAGACACAACAGTGGGAAGTAGAGACACAACAGTGAACAGTGGACACACAACAGTGGACAGTGGAGACACAACAGTGGGAAGTAGAGACACAACAGTGGACAGTGGACACACAACAGTGGGAAGTAGAGACACAACAGTGAACAGTGGAGACACAACAGTGGAAAGTAGAGACACAACAGTGGACAGTGGACACACAACAGTGGGAAGTAGAGACACAACAGTGAACAGTGGAGACACAACAGTGGAAAGTAGAGACACAACAGTGAACAGTGGAGACACAACAGTGGATACACAACAGTGGGAAGTAGAGACACAACAGTGGACAGTGGACACACAACAGTGAACAGTGGAGACACAACAGTGGACAGTGGAGACACAACAGTGGGAAGTAGAGACACAACAGTGAACAGTGGAGACACAACAGTGGGAAGTAGAGACACAACAGTGGACAGTGGAGACACAACAGTGGGAAGTAGAGACACAACAGTGAACAGTGGAGACACAACAGTGGAAAGTAGAGACACAACAGTGGACAGTGGACACACAACAGTGGAAAGTTGACACACAACACACAACAGTGGACAGTAGACACATAACAACGGATAGTAGACACACAACAGTGGACAGTGGACACTCAACAGTGGGAAGTAGAGACACAACAGTGAACAGTGGAGACACAACAGTGGAAAGTTGACACACAACACACAACAGTGGACAGTAGACACATAACAACGGATAGTAGACACACAACAGTGGACAGTGGACACACAACAGTGGGAAGTAGAGACACAACAGTGAACAGTGGAGACACAACAGTGGAAAGTTGACACACAACACACAACAGTGGACAGTAGACACATAACAACGGATAGTAGACACACAACAGTGGACAGTGGACACACAACAGTGGACAGTAGACACACAACAGTGGACAGTGGAGACACATCAGTGGACAGTGGACATACAACAGATCAGTGGACACACAACAGTGGGAAGTAGACACACAACAGACAACAATGGACACACAACAGTTGACAGTAGACACACAACAGTGGACAGTGGAGACACAACAGTGGACAGTAGACACACAACAGTGGAGACTCAACAGTGGACAGTAGACACACAACAGTGAACAGTGGGCAGTAGACACATCAGAGTGGACAGTTAACCAGAAAAACAGTGGACATAGGACACGCAACAATGGACAGTGGACACACAACAGTTGACAGTAGACACACAACACACAGCAGTGGACAGTGGACACACAACAGTGGACAGTAGACACACAACAGTGGAGACACAACAGTGGACAGTAGACACACAACAGGGGACAGTGGAGACACAACAGTGGGAAGTAGAGACACAACAGTGGACAGTGGACACACAACAGTGGGAAGTAGAGACACAACAGTGAACAGTGGAGACACAACAGTGGAAAGTAGAGACACAACAGTGGACAGTGGACACACAACAGTGGGAAGTAGAGACACAACAGTGAACAGTGGAGACACAACAGTGGAAAGTAGAGACACAACAGTGAACAGTGGAGACACAACAGTGGAGACACAACAGTGGGAAGTAGAGACACAACAGTGGGAAGTAGAGACACAACAGTGAACAGTGGACACACAACAGTGGACAGTGGAGACACAACAGTGGGAAGTAGAGACACAACAGTGGACAGTGGACACACAACAGTGGGAAGTAGAGACACAACAGTGAACAGTGGAGACACAACAGTGGAAAGTAGAGACACAACAGTGGACAGTGGACACACAACAGTGGGAAGTAGAGACACAACAGTGAACAGTGGAGACACAACAGTGGAAAGTAGAGACACAACAGTGAACAGTGGAGACACAACAGTGGATACACAACAGTGGGAAGTAGAGACACAACAGTGGACAGTGGACACACAACAGTGAACAGTGGAGACACAACAGTGGACAGTGGAGACACAACAGTGGGAAGTAGAGACACAACAGTGAACAGTGGAGACACAACAGTGGGAAGTAGAGACACAACAGTGGACAGTGGAGACACAACAGTGGGAAGTAGAGACACAACAGTGAACAGTGGAGACACAACAGTGGAAAGTAGAGACACAACAGTGGACAGTGGACACACAACAGTGGAAAGTTGACACACAACACACAACAGTGGACAGTAGACACATAACAACGGATAGTAGACACACAACAGTGGACAGTGGACACACAGCAGTGGGAAGTAGAGACACAACAGTGAACAGTGGAGACACAACAGTGGAAAGTTGACACACAACACACAACAGTGGGCAGTAGACACATAACAACGGATAGTAGACACACAACAGTGGACAGTGTACACACAACAGTGGGAAGTAGAGACACAACAGTGAACAGTGGAGACACAACAGTGGAAAGTTGACACACAACACACAACAGTGGACAGTAGACACATAACAACGGATAGTAGACACACAACAGTGGACAGTGGACACACAACAGTGGACAGTGGAGACACATCAGTGGACCGTAGACATACAACAGATCAGTGGACACACAACAGTGGGAAGTAGACACACAACAGACAACAGTGGACACACAACAGTTGACAGTAGACACACAACAGTGGACAGTGGAGACACAACAGTGGACAGTAGACACACAACAGTGGAGACTCAACAGTGGACAGTAGACACACAACAGTGAACAGTGGGCACTAGACACATCAGAGTGGACAGTTAACCAGAAAAACAGTGGACATAGGACACGCAACAATGGACAGTGGACACACAACAGTTGACAGTAGACACACAACACACAGCAGTGGACAGTGGACACACAACAGTGGACAGTAGACACACAACAGTGGAGACACAACAGTGGACAGTAGACACACAACAGGGGACAGTGGAGACACAACAGTGAACAGTGGACAGTAGACACATCAGAGTGGACAGTTAACCACAGTGGACATAGGACACACAACAATGGACAGTGGACACACAACAGTGGCCAGTGGACACACAACAGTGGATACACAACAGTCGACACACAACAGTTGACAGTGGAGACATAACAATGGACAGTGGACACACAACACACATTGCCGATTCACTCGGGGATATATTTATGTTATGTAAACAGTATCAGTGTATGCATTACGCCACACAACAGATGTGGCTATACAAAAAAAACAACCATATAACATTTAATTTCAGAAAAACTGCTATCGACAGAATAAAACATTGCTACATTGTATCATTTATATAAATATTGTTCATGCAACATTAGGAGTCCTGAATCAAGTGTAAGTTCCATGGTGTGCAGGTCATGCAATACATGACACACAAAATTTAAGTGATAACACACAATTGAAAATTGATTTTAATAAGGGCAATGATATTATATGTATTGTGTGTATCCTTTACAAGGATTAATTGAGTGCAGATACTCATAACAAGCTGTTGCCATGCGTTCAAACATGTCATTACCATGACATGTGTAAACTTCGTAAATTGTGATAATATTCCTTTTGAGGTTTAACGATCCTGCATTTGCTATTGTACAAAGTTTAAATCTGATGTGTGTGTGTGTGTGTGTGTGTGTGTGAGTGTGTCATGATCAGTGGGTGTCTCTGTGTTAACGTCTGTGTGCGCGCGTGTGTTTGTGTGCGTCGGAGTGTGTGTGTCTCAGTGTCTGTGTGTATATATGCGTCTTTGTGTGTGTATGTGTGTTTCTGTGTCTGTGTCTCATTGCAATTGTGTGTGTCTCAGTGTCTGGGTGTACGTCTTCTTTGTCTGTGTCTATGTGTGTCTGTATGTGTGTTTGTCTCTGTGTCACACAGACACACACACAGACGCACACTTAGAGACACGGAGACATACACACAGAGACATAAAGACAGACATACAGACGCACGCACATAGAGACGTACATGTACAGGCATACATACAGACAGATACTCACATACAGAGGCACACACATACAAACACACACAAGTACACAACCACACAGGTATACAAACACACAGAGAGACACCCACAAACACACAGAGATACACACACAAACATACACAGACACAGGCACACACATACAAACACACACAAGTACACAACCACACAGGTATACAAACACACACAGAAACACCCACAAACACACAGAGATACACACACAAACACACACAGACACAGGCACACATACAAATACACACAAGCACACAACCACACAGGTATACAAACACAAACAGACACACCCACAAACACACATAGACACAGGCACACACATACAAACACACACAAGTACACAACCACACAGGTATACAAACACACACAGAAACACCCACAAACACACAGAGATACACACATACAGACACAGAGATACACACACACAGACACAGGCACACATAAACAAACACACATAAGTACACAGCCACACAGGTATACAAACACAAACAGAGACACCCACAAACACCCACAGACACAGGCACACACATACAAACACACACAAGTACACAACCACACAGGTATACAAACACACACAGAAACACCCACAAACACACAGAGATACACACACAAACACACACAAAGACGACTTCCGACTGTATCAATCACTATGAAATCGTGACGAAGTGTTTGGGGAGGGGTGTGTGTGTGTGTGTGTAGGGTGTGTGTGTGTGTGTGTGTGTGTGTGTGTAGGGGTGGGGGGGGGGGGATGACATGCATCAGATATCGGTACATGGCCCATTTTTAATAGTTATTATATAAAACTACGTTTCATTTTCGTGTCTTCGTTTTGGCCTTGTTATTTTCTAAATTTGATACACGTATTTCGTATTTTCATTTTATTGGCAACTTTGACCGTGTATACCTACATTGATTCCGTCGTTGTTTGGCTGAAATACAGCCCTTCCACCGTTATCTTTAACTCACCTACTCACTGAAATCCTTTTTGTGTATGGATTTGCTGGTCAAGGAATCGAATCAAGATTCGCCCCGAAAATGATCGGTAATTAGCACCATACGACCAATTGGGCGTGTTCCCAAACCTTAAGCTTGCACATCCTAATTGCCAAGGCAGTCTATAAAGACACTGCTCCCCAACTAACTCATGGAGCCCTTGTGCATACATTGTTATATGCTGCGCCTCACCAGATGCCGTTGTGAATTCTCTCGTATGGTTAAGACAGCCTTCGACTCCGACGTAGAACATAGGATGGATGCTGGGGACAACATACGAAACGTTGCCCATGTCTGTGGACCCCAATGCCAGACCTGCATATTTCTCCTTCGGTGTAAATTCTATCCCCGTTGTATTAGCGTTAGTGGTGAAAGCCTTCGCTAGGGACCTGTTTGTGACGACGTTGGAATATGACTTTGGATCAAAGTCATATTCAACCTTAAATTTAGAGAGGTATCCATTAAAAATCCTCCTTTATCATGAATATACAATGATGTGTTTTCGGTGATAAAGCCTACGGTTGATTGTTACGTGCTTCAGACGAAAAACCCAATGTTGCTTAAATCAAATAACGGATTTAGAATTTAGAAATTCCTTTGGTATGAGAAAGATTGATTGGCCGTGAAATACTCTACAATAAATCGTGTGTCTCTGCTTGTTGTCGTTTTTATTCTAAATATTTGTTTCAATACCAAGGCTTGTGAACTTCATGAGTTTCAGCAAATTCATAAAAGTGTATCATCTGTATAAGAGTGTGGCATTTTACCTACAATATGCATAACTTCCGTGATGTAACTGCAAAACAGCACACAACAGCGTTACACCCAAATGACTCACGAAATGACATAGATGTGACGAAAAATACATGTGCACACATCCCGACAGTTCTTCTCTTAATGTTAGGATAATGAATATAAGAAATATAATCAGCCAGTTCACCAGGACATAATCTAATGCTATCCACCTTACATCCAGTTGCTGCTACTGCCGCCATGATGCACTGAATAAACTTCTCTTTCAAAACACCCATATCGTCATCACTAGGTGTCCGCAGGTAGTATTCGAGTTCCGTCAGCTCTGGGATAATGTTGGGTTTGGCTCCCCCATTCTTGATTATCCCTAAAACACAAGTTTAGTCTGCAATATTCAAGCTGTATCACGGCAGTGAGCAACAGTATGCTCTATCGACCACGGTGACACACAATCAGCAATATTCACATTATTAACTCCGATCTTCTTTAATGGAACATGCTATTAGAATTGAATTCTGTGAATTATATATTTTGCATCGGATGTGCACACACACACGCCCGCACGCACGCCCGCATGCACTCACGCACGCAAACACACAACATGTATACACTCACGCACACAGCTACATTCACACCTTCATATATACACTTTCACGCACGCACGCACGCACGCACGCACGCATGCACTCACGCACGCACGCACACAACACGTATATACTCACGCACGCACGCACGCACGCACTCACGCACGCACGCACGCACACGCACACACACACACATACATACATCCATACATATACATACTTGTAGTCATATTGATCAGAAGTACAATTCATATAATTTTCTACCTAAAGCATTATGACAATCAATGTGGAACCTTTACCATGGACCCTCCAGTCAGGTTTCATCTGTTGTCTGAGACAGGAGATGTTCTGGTAGCACAGGACGGCGGCGTCAAGAGCGTTGATGCCCTCCCAGGGAAATCCCGCAGCGTGAGACGCCTTGCCTTGGAACTTGATGGTGCACCTTTTGGATGAGAGAATTCAAGATGTCTCTACAGCAGGTGTCCATGGAATTTGTTGACGACATCCCATTATCTTTCTTACATCACATACGAAAACTTCCGATGAACATCAGAATGGACACAAGAGGCGGATCTTTATTGTTTTGTCTTACTTTTTCAAACGCTGGTTTATTATGGCTCATGCATACAGTTAGAGCCAGCTGTAACACTTGTATGCAAGTGACTTACGACTATGACATGTAAACAGCCGGTACAGAACGCTAACTATATAAAGCTATAGAATTCCATTTTTATGTTTGCTTTTTTACCGAATATTCTCACAATTCTCGCGGCGATTATCTTCACCGTTTCTCCGAATACAAATTGCCATGATATCTCGCCTATTAATTAGTGGATGCGATCTTTCGGCCATTGTGTTTACCAGCGTTGGGAACCACTCACTTCCTTCTCAATAATAACATCGTCAAATTCACTACGTCATCAAGTTGCGAGCGTCTGTTCTAATCTCCAGAAATGACATCTTGATAGAACAATGTTTTATCGTGAAATACACCACGTCGCGTTTTTCATTTTCATTTTGATTTATCGCGTAGCTATCTTATATATATATATGTGTGAGTGTGTGCGTGTGCGCGTGCGTGCGTGCGTGTGCGTGTCGCAAGCTTGGCATTGCCATTTCAATATTGTACTACTTGCAGAGTATAATTAGATGTAGTCATATATTCGCATAATTTTGAACATACAGCTAAACCTAATGCCGTCTAAGCCGTCACTCTGTGACACACAGAGTTGCGTCCCTTGAACGTATCAGGCTCCAGTGATCGTTGTCTCGAATAACAGACTGATGTAACCTGCATCATTGTTGTCTCCAACCACCTTACACTGATATGCCGTGACGTAACTGTAATACAGCTGAAAGAGCTGATAGATCCCACTCACTCCTCCAGTTATTCACTAAAATATCACAGTGACAACTCTTGGACATTTGCGCGTGTTAACCTAATCACAGCATCACAGGCACACACTTAACAAGCAATGAGTCAGAGACTTCAAATAGTGCGTCACAGATACACCGATGTTAAGGACATAACATCTACCTACTGCTCTCTCGATAAACAAAAGACGTCAACAGTTGTGAACGGTGCTGGATGAGCCATCATTGCCACGTCTACCCCTTTAAATGCATTGGCATGGATAAGATCAATCTTGCCGCCTCCCCCCTCCTCTGCTGGAGTGCCCAGAACGGTTATCTGGAATACAATGTCACCACAAAAAAACATGTTTATGCAATAGCAGGCTGGGTTGCGTTTTCAACAATGGTTGAATGACTTCTTTGAGTGGCATTTAGAAGTTGGAGTGATGAAGTAAGACGAGTTCTATGGATGAACAACTTCTTTATTACAATTAGTGGACGGTGTAGATCCTAACACCTTTATCAAGCAAGTGATCACTTGCTTGATAAAGGTGTTAGGATCTACACCGAAACGTCCACTAATTGTAATAAAGACGTTGTTCATCCATACTTCAATCTTACTTCAATGGTTGAATGTTTGAATAATGATTTGTTTGTTTGATTGCTTGTTTGTATAACGCCGCACACAGCAAATATTCCAGCTTTATGACGGCGGTCTGTAACTAATCGAGTTTGGACCAGATAATTCAGTGATTCATATCATGAGCATCGATCCACGCATTTTGGATACGATGACATGTATCAACCAAGACCACGCGATCCCGTTAGTCGACACCCATGACAATCATAGCAGCATTGGGTTGCTGAAGATATGAAACAAACAAACAAACAAAAGAGCCGACACAAAATTGGGTTCGGGTGGCCATGTCATGGGTCCCGATACTTTCTTATGCTTTAAGTCACTGGTGTGCCTGGTTCGGGTTCAATTATTTAACAGCCACCGTGACATACTATATTAAAACAACATTCACGTACATGTATGATTTAATAACTGGTAACAGATTTACGAAAGTTCATACTGACCTTCCCTCCTGACCCTGTGGCCTGTAACGCCGCCTTCACCCCAAGGCCCGCTGCCACGCCCACTTCAGCAATCAGGTTGTGGCCACAAGCGTGTCCGATCTCCGGCAGGGCATCATATTCACACAGTACGGCCACATGAGGACCTGTCCCATCTTGACCAAACACTGCCCGGAACGCTGTATTCAGTTTGTAATTCCTCTCAACCTCAAATCCATGCTTCTCAAGAAATGCGGATAGATAATCGTGGGCAAACGTTTCTGCATACTGAAGTTCTGGGTGTTTCCAGATTTCCTGACTGAGTGTGTTGAGATCTGCAGAGTGGGCGTCGATCTCCCGACAAGCCACGACTTTCCCTGACATGCTCGTTCGGTAGAGAAACAGCTAAATGGCTCGGTGTTCCGGATTGTTTCTGTTGTTCTTTTCTTTGCACACGGCTGTGATCACGTGTGAAGCGTTAATGTAACGGTAAAGTAGTATTGACGCTATGTAAAGGTGGAGAAGCGAAATATAGTTGTTTTAATCCGTACCAATGACTGCGCATGTCACTGTGTATTCTATTAGTACTTAAATAACAGCGACAATACCTTTCCCGTAATCGTTGTACGATTCCGATCACTATGCCTGATCGATTTTTCCTTGTAAAATCTCGACAGCCTATAAATGATACAGTCTGGTATAGGCAAACCAGCGTCCAGCTCAAATAGTATGTAGTTGGTCATTTCGCCACATATATAGGTGAGCCGTGAAGATCCGGAGTAGAATAGGTCTTCAGCAACCCATGCTTGTCGTAAAAGGTGACTAACGGGATCGGGTGGTCAGACTCGCTTACTTGGTTGATGCATGTCATCGTATCCCAAATGCGTGGATCGATGCTCATGATGTCAATCACAGGGTTGTCTGGTCTGGACTCGATTATTTACAGACCGCCGTCATTTAGCTAGAATATTGTTCGGCGTTAGAAACAAATAAACCAACAAACAAAAGTAATACGAGGCATTGAACGCTTTAAATCAGATCAAACCAACTTTTGAGTATGAGTGGTATGACGCACTTTGAAATAGTCAAAGAAAGAGGTGGCACGGTTTGTCCAGTCGCCTAAGGCGCCGCGATTTCTTGGGCACGCCAGAGACCTATGATTGTGGGTTCGAATCTCGGCTCGCCCCACTTATGTTTCTAAGTTTGTCAGCACCAAACCCGTGCTCGTGGGTTTCACTTCAGACTGCATCACTTCGGGCTTTCCTCCCACATTAAGCTGACACGCCGTGATTTAACTGGAATACTGTTAAAAGCGGCGTTAAACCCAACTCACTCACCCACTCACTACAAAGAAAGAACATCCTCGATTTACTTCAAAAGTTTGCTCTAGCAAAGGCTAGAGCTACTGGAATGTTGCTCGACAAAACAACTTATCTGCGTATCTGGGATGTATTTTTCCTGTTTTTCCTGTCAGAGCAGGATGATCACGTGGTTTAAGGGGCAACGATTCGCCGAGCTTATGGTTGCTTTCCTGACAAGGACGAGTGTCCGATGCGTGTTATAATTAAGCTGAATCGCCATCATGTAACTAAAATACTGTTGGGTTTAGCTTAAGTCACTTCTGTCACGAAGGACAGTTCAAGTTTGAATAACCTAATGTGCATGTCATACTTACAAAAGCGACATATATACAGTGGAACATATATTTTTATCAAGTTTGATGTTGACGTAACACAAAATTACGCCAATGAAAACTGGTTCAGTATATTTCCAATATACTAAATCCTTTCAACGTATATTTCACCAACTGTTGTAGTGTCTTCCAGCATGACTGAAAACGTTCATGTTTGTCACCAAATATGTAGTGAAAATGTTACAGGAAATTGAACTGTTGAGTACGGACCTTGTTTAAGCCATGATCATGTTGTGCCCGGCCATTGTTGCACCCTACACCTTTAATGGATCGGCAAATATCCCCTGCGGTGTCCCTGTTATTGTACAGGGGGACAGATGGAGGTCAGATGAGGTCAAGGCATTGCTACGATATATGTTTACTCAGTCTGTTGACGACACAATGTCAAGTACATTGGTAAACTACTGTACAAAACACACCTCCCCTCTGTCGCGATTGTGTCGCGTAACGTTCTCGAGCGGCAAAGATCAAGGTCAAGTTTGTAGCTATAAAATGCTAGTATTAGGCGTATGATTGCTGGCTCAATGTGAGATGGGCCATGGTGTTATATGATATACTTGTTGAGGAGGATCCATTGATAAATGTATCTCTGTGTGTGTGTATGTGTGTGTGTGTGTATGTGCGTGTGCGTGCGTGCGTGTGTGTGTGTGTGTGTGTGTGTGTGTGTGTGTGTGTGTGTGTGTGTGTGTGTGTGTGTGTGTGTGTGTGTGTGTGTGTGTGTGTGTGTGTGCGAGCGCACGTGAGTGTTTGAGTATACAAGTGGGTGGGTGGGTGCTGGAATGCAGCTGCGTGGGTATCTGAGTATGTTTGTGTTTTTGTCTGTGTTACGATTATATGTTGTAATAAATATGGCATAATATGTGTACTATATAATAACGTATGTTAATCAATATTTTGCCGTGAATGGTGTCTCATATGCCAATAATGGTTACTTATACATATATTATTATTATTATTATTATTATTATTATTATTATTATAAATATTATGTACAGATTAAAATTTAAAAAATGCAGCAAAGAGGGTTCGGGTGATCCTGGCACAGTCAGACTGGTTATTCTCATCATCAGCTCAGGGCCCTAGGCCACACGCACTCCTGACAGCGAATGGGACTCCTCCAAGGAAGCGCTGCCTAGTCAAACCCACCCAGAACTTTTCGGAGAATGTGAAGACTCCCAACACTACAGCCTTCTGCATTACCCAGATTGTCAGAAGGGCTCTTTTCATGGTAGCAAACCCGGGTACTCTCCCAATGTCAGACAACAGATTGGGAGGTACCAAACCTAAGGCACCGAGAACAATGGGGGGTCGGACAACTTGGTACTTGGGATGTAAGCGTGACATTTCGAAAACGAGGTCCGCATATTTGTCATGTTTTTTCCTGTATCTTGTCATTCACATTGTGTCAAAAGGGACAGAAAATTCAATTATTATATAAATTTTATTGGATTTATCAAAAAGGACAATATCAGGTTTGTTGGCCTGGATACGTCTGAGGCTGTATAAGGGCCTATTCCAAAGAATGTTGTATTTATCCTTTTCCATATATTCCGGGTCGTACCATGGATGGACCTCTGTGCCAAACCACAAGCATGGCGAAGACGGTAATAAAATGATCAAGCCACTTAATCATGTCGCTAAGATACTGTGTTTGTGCCACAGCTGAGCATCCACTGATAATGTGTTGGACAGTCTCATTAAATTCATTACATAATCTACATTTCATATTTACATTTTAATGCAAAATCACACATCGAGGGTTTCGATTGGGAAGTGACTGGTCCTGAGCAGCAAACAGAAAACCTTCTGTTTCACTTTTCAGGCCAGTCGACTTCATCCAAGCGAATAACTCAGCAGGGTTGCTTCTCTTCTCAACACACTTCACATAAACATGAAAATCTGAGTCTGTGTGACTGTTTGCAAGCATCGGCCCTACAACAAATGGGTTCATTTCACCTGTGCGTTGTCAGAATGTTGCGATCTTATTATCTTCAGTGCGAGAGCATAAATCCCTTATACCCTGCCACAAAGTCGACGTTTCGTGACAAACCATTTAATTCATTACCCTGACATATGAACGCATTTCTGCACGTCATATTGACGTGACGAGAATATCAAACGTGACTGGAATATGCGACTAGCAGTTATATATTTGTTTTATCTATTTTGATGAAATATACACTTTAATGAAGACTGAATCTTCCCTCTTGTTTCATTTTAGCGTCCTGTATCAATGATCAAATATATAGCTAGCACCGGTTTTAACATTATATCAGCCGCATCACACGGGGCACGCCCCTTTTTGAGTTCTCAGTTACTGGCATCGCTTCCGATTGCTTCAACGAGCACTAGGCCCTTCTGAACCCCCGAGTCACATCATGCCGCTTTGGAAGAATGTGGATCCACTTGTTTTATTAGTTCCCGTGATTACTGGTGTCATATTATACAGCACAAGTTCACGGGAAACGGTAAAAGACATATATTTTGATACTCAATAAATGTCGGTTTATCAATCAGTTCAGTACTCGAATTTGCAACATTGTACTATACGATTGCAGTCTTTAAGATAACGTCTATGTAGTGTATTCATTGGTGTATAATACGAGTCTTGAAGCCTCAAAGACGTTTGTTTGTTTGTTTGTTGTTTAACGCCGCACTCAGAAAGATTCCAGTTTTTGACGGCGGTCTTTAAATAATCGAGTCTGGACCAGACAATCAAGTGACTGACATCATGGGCGTCGATTTGCGCAATTGGGATACGATCAGATTCATCAACCAAGTCAGCGAGCCTGACCACCCGATCCCATTAGTCGTCTCTTACGACCAGCGTTACCCAGCAGTTGATGCATTACGCAGCAGTTGATGCACCGGAAGTCTTTAGTAACTGTAGTATTGGGATAACCAGATATAGTAGCATGATTGTAACGTACTTTTTTAAAGTTATAACACAATTGATAGATTATGGAAAGGAAAAGTTTTGATTTTGTTATTTTCTAGATTCCAGTCTATATCTACCTAACAGTAACTGTCCTTCGTGACATCCTTTTAATAGTATACATGTTTTTCTAAAGTCGCGTGACATGGCTGTGATACTGCCGCCACGGCTTTAAATTCTATTCAATTGTGAATATATTAACTTGGTCTTATAACAAGCATAGGACACCAGTAATCTATTATGCCTGTATTATCATTCATGTAATTATCTTGCAAAAAGAGTTTGCACGCCCGTTTTATTCCTGGAAACCTATTTGTCCAGAAACTCTTCTGGATTTGTTGAACAGTCTCAATACATGTCAAAATCCAGGGGGCACGGGTGGCCCAGTCGTCTAAGGCGCCGCGATTCGCTGTGCAGAGTTGCGTCCCTTGTGCACGCCAGAAACCTATGATTGTGGGTTCGAATCCCGGTTCGCCCCGATTATGTTTAGGTTTGTCAGCACCATACCCGTCCTCGTGGGTTTCACCGAAGTGGTAAACGTCTGAGACCTGCATCACTTCGGGCTTTCCTCCCACATTAAGCTGACACGCCGTGATATAACTGGAATACTGTTAAAAGCGGCGTAAAACCAACTCACTCACTGACTCACTCACTCAAAATCCAAGTTTAAGCCATTGAATTCATCCATGTACAGTGGTCCATTGTTTCAAATGTTCATGTACTCAAACTCCTTTTTCTTTTTCTGGCTTTGCCACACATAGGTCTAAATGAACGTGTAATGTATTGAAACAAGATCGGTCAGTTTGCCATTGGTTTTTTCCCCATGGGGATTGTTTCAATGGCTGGTAAATGTTGCCATAAATCAACTGCTTGTAGATCGCGGAAATTCTCTTACTTCTTTACCTGTTGCACCAGATGGTTGCATAATAGTATATTACTGATGTGCGTTTATCTATTCATGTTTCAGATGATTAATGTATGACATAGCAATCACCGTATTGCATATGTTAGTTCACATTATCTGTGCTATCATGACAAATTGTCTGTATGGCAGAGTTGTGAAATAGAATGGCTATGTCACTTATCAAGTTTGCAACAATTGCACATAACATAAGCAGCTAATTTAACCATAGTATTGTAAATGCTACTGGTGTACAACTAAATGATTACGGGGAGTCGATATACCAACAACAACGATGTAGTTCAGTTGGGCATATTGTCTGGTCCAAACTCGATTATATAAGGACCGCCGTCATATATATAGAATATTGCTGAGTGCGGTGTTAAACAGCTAAGAAACATACAAACAAACAAATCAATTGGGCGTATCACGGTATATATGTTGGCGAATATGACAGGAATAATTTAATAACTGGTTACAAACATATCTCGGAAAGTTCATACTGACCTTCCCTCTCGTCCCTGTTGCCTGTAGTGCCGCCTTCACCCCAAGACCCGCTGACACGCCCACTTCATGAGCAGCTATCAGGTTGTGACCATAAGCGTGTCCGATGCTCAGGCAGGGCATCATATTCATAGAGTACGTCCACGTGAGGACCTGTTTCATTTTGACCAAACACTGCCCAGAACGTTGTAACCAGTTTGTAATTCCTCTCAAACACAAATCCATGCTTCTCAAGAAATGCGGATAGATAATCGAGGGCAAACGTTTCTGCATACTGCAGTTCTGGGTGTTTCCAGATTTCCTGACTGAGTGTGTTGAGATCTTCCCAGACGTGCTCGTTCGGCAGAGAAACAGTTAAATGCCTCGGTGTGCTAGGTTGATTCTATCGTTCATTTTTTCACACAGCTGTGAGAACATGCATGACACATTCATGTCACTTACTTGCACAACGTGTTTTTCTCGGTATTTAAGTAGACACGACGCGATGTGTCCGAAACTGCGCTACACCCATCTCACACCCTACCTTCCTGGAATAATGCCCAGGATACAGGTGGAAATAAATTGGTGCCAGGTCTGGCAAGTATGGAGGGTGAGAAAGCTCTTCAAACCCACGATGTCGCACAGCAGCCTTTGCAAGTCGAGAGGTGTGAGAAGGGGCATTGAATTGTCATGAAACGGTAGAACTCCAGCAGTCAACATTCCTCGCCGCTTTCCCCTCTCAGGCGATGAGGCAAATCAACATAGTAGGCACTGGTAATCGTCTTTTGACTTTCTAAGTAATTAACAAGGATCACACCCTTTGCATCACAGAATACAGTGGCCATAACTTTCTTCACTGATCTTGAAGACCCAAATTTCTTCGGTGCCGGAGCAAGGGAATGGTACCATTCCATGGATTAACGTTTTGACTCGGGATCTTAGTGGTAGACCCATGTTTCATCATCCGTTACTTATCTCTTTTTGAGTTTTGTGGCATTCTCCTCAAGTACCTCTAAAGTTTCTCTGGCAATGTCAGTTCTGATTTCCTTAGGTTCATAATTTAGAAACTTTGGCACCCAACAAGCAGATATCTTATTCATCTGTAAATGTTAATGAACAATAGTTTCAATGGATCCACTTTTTAGACCTGTGTCTTCCTCAAGTTCACCAATGGTTATACGTCTATCTGACAGTATAAGTGTTTTCTATCTCCGTGATTGCATCTTCATTGATGGCAGTTGAGGGACGTCCATCATCACGGCTTGTTCTCACAGCCTTAAACATAGCTGCCTAACGTTTAACAGTGTAATACCTGGGGCACTTATCCCTATACACTTGTGACATGCGGGCATGGGGAGACTTGGGAAGTACGTTTCTCTAAAGTAAAAAACTTGATGACTGCTCGGTACTCGTTCTTCTTCGTTACTGTCTCCCATTGGGCCCCCATCACATTCAACTGGCTTTCACCAATATACAAACGGCCTCAACAGACCAAATACACTTGCAATGAACTACTCAAACAAGGTACTACATTAACTAGTTCACCTTGTTATGGCCCATATTGGAACGAAAGCCAGGCTTAGAACTGTTTTACCAGCCCTCGTACATGAACAAGGTAGTTTTGATCGTTCTGGAGGTTTCTGGAAAGGACAGTTTCTAAACAGCTGACTATACCTACATGTATAAATGAGTGACAAGAAGGCGATTCAACCTGTTTCTCATTTACCTGCCAGTTGCAGTTTGATACCTGTTTGGAAACAACGAAATCCAGTTCTGGATTCAAGCAGGAAGACAGGCTTATTCAAGTCAATATGTTACCCATTACTGCCACCATTTCTTTGACCCATTAATATGCCTTTTTTATGATAAATCTGAAACTGTGTGTTTGGATGTAATTCATTGATGATTTCTTGATGTTTTTGTTGTCATCTACTGATTTTACAATTTGCTTCGTCATGTAAAAGTACACACACACACACACACACACACACACACACACACACACACACACACACACACACACATATATATATATATATATATATATATATATATATATATATACTTATATATATATATACACGATCGAAATGGTGTTTGGTTGAACGTTAGCGTGGCATCTAGAATACCACACACACATGAGACATAAATATGATGGCGAGACATGGTTCATGAGAGCTTGCGTTCACTGTTCACCCGCTAACGCATACCCGTATAGGCTGTGTTCAATATTCGACACAAATGTAGACATACGGTACCACTGTTGAGATTCGAAAAACGTATTATATTGTGGAAGACGTACATCTTGTCCATGTAACTAAAATGTAAATTTAATAGATTCTACATAGCGATCACGGGGGGTATTGTCAGTTTGCCGTCACTGTAAACACAATATGGTTGAGATGAAAGCTATTGAAATGACCACAGTTAATATGCATCCTGTGATTATGCTGTGTCTGTGAGAGAGAGATGTTTGGTCATATACAAATATTCTCAAAGATGCATACAGCATATTTTATATAATTTAAATTTTATTTGTAGTCATCCACAAGAACAGCATGACAAAATATAAGTTACAATTTTTATATAACTACATAACAACATGACCACTTTTTCTCCTACATTTTAGATGTCGGAGTAATCGCTTTTCTTACATTCGTTTGGCATCAGACTGAATAAGTGATTGTCATTGTAAACGAATTGCAAGAATAATTAAACATTGGACACTCAACACGAGACATTAGATGAGACAAAAGAATACCTTATCCTACAGTCACCGTACATGTATACCTGGGTGTCAACAAATGAATAGTTACTTACGATTAATACAATTCTTCTCCTATCTTTTTTACAATTCGTGATAACCTGAAGAAATATACAGTATTTAATAATAACTTTCAAGAAACGAATATCGGTGTTCTTTTACCGACTCTGTATATTGGTATATGTAAGCATTAGCTTTGACAAATAATCATGAAACTGATATAACGCAAGGCCCCTTTCCTGAGTAACAGTTTTCTGTATAAGGCCATCCAAATAATGATCTTTCAACTCCAATCTCAGCTTCGGTCAGTCGAAAGAAAAAAAGTCAAAATATACAAATCTTCCTTTGGTTGATGATACAACAGGTATGTTGTCTGTATAGATAAAACTATGTGCAAAAAATATATGAATCTTGTCTTCAGGAGCTTCCAATTTTAACATTTACCGAACGCGCAGCCCCGACATTGGAACATGTGTTGGGTCGTAGTGCAACGTTTGCTGTATCGGTGTAAGAAGATGCAGCGTTGAATCGTTTTTCTCACAGCGGAATGATATCTGTATTGAGGCGGTGAATGGGCGGAAATATTACCCTTTCTTATTTTTGAACGACATAGTAAAGTAGAACAGACTGGAATGAGGAACACACAAAATAGTACAGACCACCTAGTCTGAAAATATTAGACGTGACAAAGAATAACTATTATTAACATCAAGTCAATTGAAAGTGCCCATTGGAAGACAGATATCAAATAGAACTCCATGTGAAGAAAGATAAACATATACAATATATGAATCATGGAATACAAATGTATGCATTTTTATGAAGACTGGACATCTGCAAGGAGATCCCTTTTAGCCTCCTGTGTCAATGACGGTTGTAAAAGTAGCTCTACACCCGTCATAGCAAGTGCCTTGCTTACTTTCAGTGTATAGGGCTGGGCGTCAGAGGAACCTGAAATACAAAACGTACAACGATGAGCATTATGTTTTTTCCTTAAACCTATATTGACGAGGGGCGTGGGGGGTGCTGCCACGCCATGATATAACTGATATACTGTGATTTAACTGGAATACTGTTACAAGCTTAAGCGGAGTTAAACCAAACTCACACACACCTGCCTCGTTCATATCTAATACATATGGCCTTGTAAAACCGTACAAGCCAATGAATCTTAGGCAGCAGTTTGTCGCCAGGGGACTTATGGATAGATCAAAAATATTATTGTCGCCATTTTTGGTTTTTAATATCAGTTACTGATCACTCCGAGTGTGCTGTAAGAGGTATACCTGCTGCTTCGGTAAATTCTGTTGTGTGGTTGATGCAGTTTTTCCTACCCACGAAGAACATTGGGTGGATGCTCGGCACTACATGTGACACGTTTCCCATATCCGTGGAACCAACGTACTTTCCCCTGACACGTTCAGTGGGCGAGAATTCCAGCCCAAGGGACTTGGCATGTTCCGTGTAGGATGTGGCCAGGATTTTGTTAGTGATGAGGCTTTCGTACGCTTTGGGATGAAAATAATAGTCTGCCTGTAACATAATAAAAACACGCTTAGAAGCAGCGATAAAATACATAAGCAATAATTAGGATTGATTAAATTAAGGCCAATTGGTTCGTGGATGTGTGACTGTCGACTGTATCACTTGCCCAACTACGCAATAACACCTTGGAACAATCGAGTTTGTGGGGCAATCACACCCGTTGCTGTTTGCCTTAATACCTACTGAGGACAACAACCATCAAACATGCAATTATATACTGGGTAATTAGCAATGCCTGATGCCATATACCCTAGAAAGCGGGAATTCAAAGTGTTAAGATTAACTGGCCTTCCAAACGTCAACTTAAATGTGCTTTTGAACAGGGCGGGCAATCTTCACAGTCAACAATTCTAAAACACAAATGTATTCCTCTTTTACATTACTTCTCAATGTCGAATTATATCTGAAAGAAATTACCATTGCAAAATTTAGCATAGCTTTGTCGCTTGTATTTCCCATCATATCCAAATAGCAATGGGACGGTATCATAATATTCCAAGACATGAAAGGATTTGCCTGTACTGTATACTAATATTGTGGAGGATGGGAACCATTTTATACTGATTTGTTGCAAATACAGTATGTTACGAGTACCAAACATATATGTTAATCATCCAACACAGTTTAAATTTAATTCGTTAATGTCTTCATCTGATGTGAAAGTAATTAAAACACTTGCTGTGTACATTTATCATGCCAATCATGTTTTAGGGTCTTCATATCTATAAGTACATGTGGTGTGTTTACCATATTTTCACTAATATACAAGATGATGAATCACTCTGCAGTACAGTATTTCATAGGTTTATCCTGTATTCACTGTTATACTAAACATTGCAGTCTTTAGACACTGTCGTACCTTGCACTTTGGGGGTGGCTCTGTCGTCTTGGGCAAGTCAGGAACCTGTGATTGTGGGTTCGAATTCCGATCATACCTCTAGGTTTGTCAGCACGATACCCCTGCTCGTAGGTTTAACCAAAGTGGTAAACTACCAAAATCGTAATATATTTGCATCAGGGGCGGTCGGGTAGCCTAGTGGTTAAAGCGGTCGCTCGTCACGCCGAAGACCCGGGTTCGATTCCCGACATGGGTACAATGTGTGGAGCCCATTTCCGCCGTGATATTGATGGAATATTGCTAAAAGCGGCGTGAAATCAAACCTCACTCACTCACTCACATTTGCATCGCGTGACGGGAGAGTTTTCATAGGTTGTCAATGAAACTGTGGTAATACCAAGCGTTACAGATCACTGTTTGATTTACCGATCATTGAAGGGTGATTATAAAGATGTGTGAAATAAATTCTGAGGTAAACGATAGACTGTAGACAGTATACTGTCACTGTCAGTCTAGATAAAGTCGATATTTGATATGCATGTCTTCGTTTTGTTCTCATGGATGGATCGTAAAGAGGATATTCGTAACCGGGCATACAGTCAACTCGCGGACGTTTCCCAGTGTATGCCAAAATGCTGACTTCAAGATTAAAAGGTATAAATGATCACAAACAATGCTTCTTGGTGTAATCGTGCTTGGGAATTCACAGGGGTTACCCAATACTGTGGAAGCAGTTCATCAGTGTTTACGTCATTTTAAGAATACAATCATTGAAAACATATAAACGTCAAACTGTATGGTTCAGACACTTTTGAAAGCCAGCTTCAAGGTCATGTGACCGACCTCCCGTCCAGTGGTAAAGTCGTATATCGTGTAAACTTCACATAACAAAATTATAATGTGTTAAGTTTGCATTCACTGTTATACAACATGTAGTTGAGGCCTCACCTTGCATCCTGTGGCTGTAGCAGCAGCCTCCACACAAGCAGAGAACTTCTTCGTCAGCTCCTTCACCTCACTGTCGGTGGGCGCCCTGCAGTTAAACTCCATCTCAGTCAGCTCGGGGATGATGTTTGGCTTGACTCCTCCGTTGTGTATCACACCTTAGATTTAAAAAAAAAATGTTTTCATGATTTTGTTTAAACATCATGTACTGCTCAACTTGAGGTATTTACCAGGTTTACATTCGCTATATTTCAAATATCTCGAATAAACTTACAATGTTTTGACCATTTTCTTCTTATATAAATTTCACTCAATACATTGTTAAAACCAATTTCTCTTTTCAAATGTTTTCAATTCTCCGGAGTTTTATAAGATATTAATCTTTTTTTTAAATGTCGTGGTTGGTAGTATTTTTGTCCACGGAACATTCCGTTTGGGCGAAGAAATCTGTATACGAATAACTAAACCAATAAAGAATGAGTGAGTGAGTGAGTATGGTTTTACGCCGCTTTTAGAAATATTCCAGCAATATCACGGCGGGGGACACCAGAAATGGGCTTCACACATTGTTCCCATGTCGGGAATCGAACCCGGGTCTTCGGCGTGACGAGCGAACGCTTTAACGACTAGGCTACCCGACCGCCCCCAATAAAGCATGACCGAGCATTGATATTTGATAGGATTCTAGCAAAATCATAAGCAAATTTAACAAGGGTCATACATGACGTGTATAATATCTTGAAATCTTCCAAAAAATGTATAGTAATGAATACGGTATTATATACAATAAAGGCTTATTTTCTAAAGATTAACTCACTCCAGGGCATAGTCGTACTCTTTCGCCCGAACAATACATAACTTACAACTATATTGAATTATATAACTTATGTTGAATTATAGTCTGGACTAACTTAGTTACCATGCACTCTCCAGTCAGGTTTCATCTGTTGTCTGAGACAGGAGACGTTCTGGTAGCACAGGACGGCGGCGTCAAGAGCGTTGATGCCGTCCCAGGGAAATCCCGCAGCGTGAGACGCCTTGCCGTGGAACTTGATGAAGCACCTTGGTATGTCACAAAACATTCATATCATCATTTATTACCCATAGGGTTAGAAATAACCGAGTTCATAATAATCGTAATTGCATAAAGGCAGATATCATTTAACGCGCACCAGTGTACTGTTTAAGTCATCCAGACCGTATTGTTGGCGTCATCCGAATTTTATTGTGACGTATGGTCGGTATGATGTCACACTAGAAACGACGTCATAGAAGCTGATGATTCGACTATTGTGAGTATGTAAGACGGCGGTCGTCGTCGTTGTTTTTTCTAAAGCGGAACGCAAATGGATAAGAAATAATGGGTAATATAAGAAATTATTACACTTGCATACATGTGTGTCATACTGATTGTACGAAACTCGTGTAAAAATGCATGTATTATCCTCAATTTCGCTTGGCAAATATAAGAATTCCGACACTCGTATCGTCAAATCAGTATGACACACTTCCTTTTATAATAATCCCTATATAAGTGATTAGTGTAGTCGACTTACACGCATGTCTATGTTATTGGACCAAAAGTTTATATTTTAACTTTAAAAACCTGTTTGCAATTCTATTATTAATAACAGCGGGAAATAACAAAGTTAGATAAATACTTTTGCCTAGCTAATGATGGCATATATTCCGCCGTCTCCGGTGTTGGGTGGGCCATCATGGCGACGTCGATGTCTTTGAATACTCCGGCATTGATCAGATCTATTTTTCCTCCCATTGACTCCTCAGCCGGAGTCCCCAGTACCGTCACCTGCGGAGACAAGCGTCCTCATCAGTGGCACAAGCAGGCATCAGTTTCGTTCATACACTAACAGTAAATACGTACCTACATAAACACAAGTAACTTTGACCATGAGCAGTCGAACCCCGTTATCTCGAATGTACCGATATCTCGAACCTATTCTCCTAATAATAAGCATCTCACATGCTGGTGAGCAATTCTCCTCCATTCATGTATATCTAGGACCTTTCCTCACAGAAATAGTGGCACTTTGTTGTATTGGTCCGACAGACCAAATACCAATTGCTGGTTGAAAATATGTCGATAATTGATCCTGGAAAAAACCCGATAATTAATACCTGGATTTACAGATTGGTTGATCATCAAAATGTGTGACGATGCACGGGTGGCCAAGTCGTCTAAGGCGCCGCAATTCGCTGTGCAGAGTTGCGTCCGTTGGACACGCCAGAAACCTATGATTGTGGGTTCGAATCCTGGTTCGACCTGATTATGTTTCCAGGTTTGTCAGCACCATAACCGTGCTCGTGGGTTTCACCGAAGTGGTAAACGTCCGAGACCTGCATCACTTCGGGCGTTCCTCCTACATTAATCTGACCCGCCTTGATATAACTGGAATAATGTTTAAAGCGGCGTTAAACCCAACTCACACATTCACTTAAAATGTGTGCACAAAAATATACATGTACCCGTCACTTCAGAGAAAGGCAGGTTGATGCTTTTTAAAGGCCAAATACGGGCCAAGAGTTGGGCACACTTCAAATGTTCCTTCCCTTTCAAATTTCAAAATGCTATACATCTCTAATCGGTGAGTGAGTGAGTGAGTGAGCATGGTTTTACACTGTTTTTTTGCAATATTCCAGCAATATCACGGCAGGGGACCCTAGTAATTGGCTTCACACATTGTACCCACGTCGGGAATCGAACCCGGGTCTTTGGCGTGACGAACGAACGCTTTAACCACCAGGCTAGCTACCCCCGCCCCCAACTCTAATCAGAATGAAAATAAATGTCACTTCACCATAATTAATGTAAAAAAACAAAACGAAAAGCCAGAATTCTATTTTGAACTTTTAATATGTTAAATTGTAAAATTAACAAATATAGAATTTTGGAAGTCTATTTGGTTCATCAACGACCCAATAAAACACTAAATACATGACATTGTTTATGGATAACTTTTTTATTCTTTGTCACGACGGTTCAGAGCTACTTCTTGTCCATTGTGTTAACTAAAAGTTGTGTGTGAGATTATTGTAGTAGCACAGTTGGGTATGAATCTGGGCGAGGTGGCAGTGGTCCAGAACCCCTATTCACTATACTACTATATGAGTGACGCAGTAGCTCATAGTCCAATGTAGTACGGATTAGCGTGTCGTGGTCGACATGTGCAGTGCCGTAGCCAGCCAGGGTGAGTGTGTGTGTGTGTCCAAAATAGTTAACTACGGCCTTGATGTGGGTCATTCTATTCAATACATCCCATACCTTGCCAATGGGTTTCCCCGCCGCCTGTAGCGCAGCCTTTATCCCCAGGCCCGCTGCCACGCCCACTTCGGCTATGAGGTTGTGGCCACATGCGTGTCCGATTCCCGGCAGAGCGTCATACTCACAAATGACCGCCACATTCGGACCAGGTCCGCTCTCTCCGTACTCTGCCCGGAAAGCTGTTGGGAGGTTATACCTCCGCTGGACATCGAACCCACATTTCTCAAGATACCCTGTTATGTAGTCATGTGCAAACGTTTCCTCATAGGCAAGCTCAGGGTGTTTCCAGATTTCTTGACTGAGAGTGTTGAGATCTGCTGCGTTAGCGTCAATCTCCCGACAAGCGACCTCCTTCAAGGACATGGTGATGCGAGTGTTGTTGATACAGCGGCGAGTCCTGACTTGCGAAACACCTGGCAGAGTAGACTGGGATATTGATGCACACGGCACTTAACCACATGACATGACACTGGCCTCCGATATGAGCGGTGACTCCTCGCTGACATTTGACGCGTGCCTGGTTGACTTTAGACTCACAATCCTATATCGTTCTATTGCACGGAGAGGTCTAGGCATATATTTACATTTATACATCGGAAATTGTATAGTTGTTCGGGTATACTAAAAGTAATCTACAACACCGCAATACATATAGCGCTGCCACAGTTGATATGCATTGGAAATGTATCGCGAATTGCCAAATCGTAAATTAAATCCTCCTTTTTCCTAATGGAAACGCTGTATTCATATTTGGAACATATCTACATACAATAAGTTTGTCGAACAGTGCCGAACACAATATATTTCATGCATATTACTTTGATTAAATGTTCATTATGAATCGTTTTGTTAATCATCAGAGACAGATAATTTACCCCCTGCTACTTCCACCGATACGGGATGTCACGGGTGGTCCAGTCGTCTAAGGCGCCGCGATTCGCTGTGCAGAGTTGCGTCCCTTGGACACGCCAGAAACCTATGATTGTGGGTTCGAATCCCGGTTTGCCCCGTTTCTGGGTTTCTAGGTTTGTCAGCACCATAGCCTGCTCGTGGGTTTCAACGAAGTGGTAAACGTCTGAGACCTGCATCACTTCGGGCTTTCCTCACACATTAAGCCGACACGCCGTGATATGACTGGAATACTGTTAAAAGCGGCGTTAAACCCAACTCACTCACTCACTCATTCCACCTGTACGGAGAGTACAACTGACTGTACTTTATCGTCTTCACGGCGGATAACTAAGCTCATTGATTATCAAAAATGTAACATACGCTTTTATCTATCTTGGATAATCATGTGTATTCATTTTATGGTGAGTTACAATTTAAAGCCACTCCGGCGTATAGTGAGTCTATACACGCCGCGACCCGTAAAGATCCGGGTTAAAACGGGTCTTCTGCCACCCGTGCTTGTCGTAAGAGAGTACTAACGGAATCGGGTGGTCAGGCTCGCTGACTTCATTGATGCATGTCATCGTATCCCAATTGCAGACAACCGTCATATAACCCAAATATTGCTGAGTGCGGCGGTAAACAACAAACAAACAAACTGAACATACTGCAATAACGTAATCTCGGAAACGTGTATTAGTCGGTATTTCAGCGATATCAAGACGTGTCAGCTTGATGTTTGGAGGAACGCCCGGTGTACACATATCTTAGAAGTTTACAGCATTGGCGAATCCCGTGAGCGGGGGTATGTAAAACCTGGAAATTTGAATTTATTCCCTGAAGAGTCACGAACGGCTGCATCAATATGTGATGCAGAGTTGCATCCCTTACTTGAGCCGCTGATCTTGACATAGTGAGTGAGTGATTATTGTTTAACATCAACATTCTATCTATCCTTGGATTCTATCAGATGTTGAGCTTTCGTGTCTAATTGTTAAACGTCTGCGTTATACTAAATTCAACAAAAATGTCTTTCTCAAATTCGTACAACCGTTGATGCTTATTTTTCAGTTTCTTATCCAACCTGCGTCGTTTGGTAATTATAAACATGTTCGTACTATCAACATAGCAATAATAGACAGAAAAGAACCTGTGCATGACAAAAACGATCTTGCTGTCAGCATGACAATAATATATTTAACAAAACGTCCCCATTGGGATCCCTATACCAATTGCATGGCTCGATGTTCATGATGTCAATCACTGGACTGCCTGGTCCAAACTCAATTATTTACAGACCGCCGTCATATAGCTGGGATGTTGCTGGAGTGCGGCGTTAAACAACAAACAAACATTGGGATCCCAGGTGAGGACAGATTCCCAGGGATCCAAATGAATCATGGGTCAAGCTCCGTGATTTTCGTCGATTGCGTGTCAGCTTACCCTACAGCATAGATCGTGGCTTATACTCTCATATTGATTGTCTGGTTAAGCCTCGAGGATTTAAACAACAACTAATTATAAACAAAAAGAGAAAAGAACGTTAACCTAAAGTAATAGGGCATAATGGATATTTTATGATCTCTTCTATGCTGTCGGGATCCCAAAGAAGCGTATACACAATATCTTAGTGGGGCCATAGTCAACAGGAGATCAGAGGTCATTGTTAAAAGTAAGTGAGTGAGTATGGTTTTACGCCATTTTTAGCAATATTCCAGCAATATCACGGCGGGGGGCACGAGAAATGGGCTTCACACATTGTACCCATGTCTGGAATCGAACCCGGGTCTTCGTCGTGACGAGCGAACGCTAAAACCACTAGGCTACCTGACAGCCCCCATTGTTAAAAGACAACATGCAGTGCCAGCAAAATATTCTGAGGTGAGTTATGTTTTTTACCAACCTATTTATAAGTGGGCATTATAGACGACAGGATAAGTCGGCATCACCGCGGGAGGATGATGTCTCCCGGGGCACTAGGGATCAAGGCTGTCCTGGAATGCCTACAGGGAGACAGACATGGGGTACTGGGGATCAAGTCTGTCCTGGAATGCCTACAGGGAGACAAACACGGGGCACTATGAGTCAAGGCTGTCCTGGAATGCCTACAGGGAGAGAAACACGGGGTACTGGGGATCTAGTTTTTCCATGAATGCCTACAGGTAGACAAACACGGGGTACTAGGGGTCAAGGCTGTCCTGGAATGCCTACAGAGAGACAAACACGGGGTACTGGGGATCTAGTTTTTCCATGAATGCCTACAGGTAGACAAACACGGGGCACTATGAGTCAAGGCTGTCCTTGAATGCCTACAGGGAGACAAACACGGGGTACTGGGGAACTAGTTTTTCCATGAATGCCTACAGGTAGACAAACACGGGGTACTAGGGGTCAAGGCTGTCCTGGAATGCCTACAGGGAGACAGACACGGGGTACTGGGGATCTAGTTTGTCCTGGAATGACTACAGGGAGACAAACACGGGGTACTGGGGATCTAGTTTGTCCTTGAATGCATACAGGTAGACAAACACGGGGTACTGGGAGTCAAGGCTGTCCTGGAATGCCTACAGGTAGACAAACACGGGGTACTAGGGGTCAAGGCTGTCCTGGAATGCCTACATGGAGACAGACATGGGGTACTAGGGGTCAAGGCTGTCCTGGAATGCCTACAGGGAGACAAACACGGGGTACTGGGGATCTAGTTTGTCCTGGAATGCCTACCGGGAGACAAACACGGGGCACTAGGGGTCAAGGCTGTCCTGGAATGCCTAAAGGGAGACAAACACGGGGTACTGGGGATCTAGTTTGTCCCGGAATGCCTACAGGGACACTAGAGAAGTCGTAGTTGCAGTAATGAATAGGCCTAATGCTGCCGTCAGCATATCATTTTCCTAAATGGGACTAATCAGCATCAAGTAGTTACTGTGGCGGAAACATTCAACTTGTTCTTAAATAACCTTTCATTTGATAGTATACGTATGTAATAGAATAATGGAATATATGTTGTTACCATCAATCTAATTATGATGAAAAATGAACGTATTGGTGCGTGTTTGTATATGAATATATATTTTATTGTTAATCATTAAATTACAAACCTGAATGACGGTTCACACTTGCGTCATTGCGTTTCAGAATGAAAGCATTCAGAAATAGTTGCATGATTATCAGCTGAACAAGGAACTAGGAACAGATTGTCAGTTCATAATTACCTTCCTTTTTATGTGTGAGAGTGCTCAATGACAAAATGTAAAAGCTCATAGAATGCATTTCAAACCATAAATGTACAGTGCCTATTTGATTATGATGACCAACTACTGACCACTGACATATCTCATCCGCTTCAGACATCACTCCCTACCATGTTCATCGAGTGCAGATGAGGGGAGGTGAAATTGGGTTTAACGTAGGGATCAAGATTACTGCAATTATATAGCGACGTGCATGCACGTGTGTGTGTGTGCGCGCGCACGTCTGTAAGAGAGGAGAGAAAGGGGGCGGGGGGAGAGAGAAAGAGGTAGAGGGAGAGTGAGGCCGATTATATAGTGCTAGCCCAATGATACCATGCCGCTGATTGATACTCAGACGCAGAATGCTGACTCCGAAAGCACCATTCCTTGTTTTACCCCTTCGTGCCGAGCGCAAGGCAGGGAAACAACAAGTATAATCTTTTAATGCCCTTTGGTATGACGCGACCGGGCGTCGAACGACAACCTTCTGATCTCCAGAAAGACGTTTCATCCACTACGCCACGAAAGCGGTTCCTGAATACAGTAAACAGAAGTGAGATAAATTCTTCGTCTACATAGTCCTCGGTACCAAGGTACATTTCAGGAACAAGTATAGCTGACATAAAATCATGCTTCTCAAGGCAAATTTTGTGCACTCATTAGCTCCAATAAAAATATTCTTAACGCAGTTACTCGTAATATTATGGCATCACGCACATAAAAATACACATGCTTGTGGGTGGAACCGACTATCGATTCAACGTAATGGTCTATTACATACAAACACGACATCTCGGGTGCTTCATCAGTGACTATTCACAGTGGTATCCATGAAGCATGTTGAGGACAATAGTCGACGTACGGCCACACGCAATAAAAGCAATTACAATTTCCTTCGCACCTTTTTTAAACAAAGAAACCACTCCAAAGGTGGACAAAATTAAAACTTCAATTTCATTCGATGAACATATAATCCTCAAATGATATGTCAGAAACGTTTGTTTATTTCTAAATTAAGTGCCATCCGTACGTTATGTAACACGTATCAATAATACAATTGTCCTGATTGGTTTTATATACAATGGACCATTGTTAGTTGTGGGTGAGGTGATCTGGAAGGTGGAGGAACGATGGAAGTTTCGATTCAGTGACGAGCCCACTTGTTTCCCACTGTTTGTTGTCTATTAAGTTATTGTAATGTAAGTGGCGTCTTTCTTCTCCGCACACAGAGGGATAATGTTTGTCGATATCTTCTCCGGTGATGGTAGAGTTTTGTCATGCCCTAGTGATAACATTAAACTTTCATCGTGCAGTGCCTAACTTCAACAAGCATCCTGTTTATTCCCAGGCTACATAAAGCTGATATTAAATCAATATAGATCCACGACAACCAGACGCAGAAACACAAGAATCGATTTATATTCTGTCAGTACATAAATTGTTTGTACTCTCGCCACTGGGGCCATGGGCATTATATTTACTGTCTAAATAAATTTTAGTTTATGGACATAACGAAAAATATGTATAATAGTGAAAACGTCTCTGTCCGGAAACCTCCCCGTCCGTACATGAACTGTTTGGAGCGTCTACATATGTACAAAATAACATTATTCAACAGTCTAGACTTATTAATCAGGAAATTTATCATTCTGGACGATTTCACTGCACTGTTCAGATTAACGGTGATGCGTGCGGGTGAATAATCTGAGCTGTTCGGGCTTCGGTGTTTGTTTTATGCATGTAACGTTGAACGAATTTCATTCTGTGAACACTATGAAGGACAACTTATATCCGCTATTACTCAGACAGGCACACTTGCATGTAATTGTTTAGCGTAAATCATTGGCCTAAAACAATAAAAATCCAAACATAACGTCCGGTCAACACAGTAAGAGAAGCTGTAAGTCAACTTAATCACACTTTCAAAGGCACGAACGTGTCCATATATTACCAAGTCTGGATCGACAGAAATTAAACGAGATTCTTGAGATAATCCAAGTTGAACGTTACAATCGACACAGATTATATTGATTGAACAGGAAACATTTTTTTTATCAATTACCATAAAATGGCACCGAAGTGTTCAGCATATCTCAATAACTGGTCAGACGTGCTGTTCGTTCGACTTTTGCAAAGGTAATATATTAAAATGTAACTTCAATGTTTTGTACATCAATTCAGGTTCAATAGAACAAACAATAGAGTGTGACGTGCGAATCCTTCTCTGCGACAAAGACCAACAAAATCATTGATATCCCACAGAACATGACATTCAGAAAATGGTTCATGCATAACTGTATCAATCACAATGACCATTTTCTCATTTTTGTCAACAAAAAGAACTGTGTGATGATGATAAAATAAGTTGAGTCATACAATCTCAATGATTTGCAATCACACAAAAAACACAACGGTTCCGCTCAATGGGGTTGTCATGGTGGCGCTCATGTTGTGGGTGGTAGACGACAAGTCAGTCTAGAGATGACATTGCTATGGCAGGCGACATCTATTGAAAAGCAACACAGCGTAAAATATCGATCAAATTTGTTTGGAACTTTCTTCAATGTTGCTTTATGTTGTCAAGGTAGCATTTAGCAGATTATGTACATCTCAAATTAATTATTGAGTACATTTCATGGTACCGATGAAGCACTCTCATTGATGTACACTCAACATCTTCTTTAAGAGCAGACACAATATTTGCGGGTAGTGGTATGTTGCTGTGCCACTTCGCTTGTGATGCTTTGCGAGATGTGATTGTTACGTGACTCGCTGAATGCATTGGCGCTGACAGCCGCGGGATCGGAAAGTCCAAGAAAAAGGCGACGGAGTAATATGGTTAGAATCTATTTCTAAAGACGACACATTTTGGCAAATGATTCTCGTTTCGGATTTTATGTGTGCCCAAATACATTTTTATGGAACAACCTAAAACCATCTTTCGTGTAAACGAAATAGGAACCTTTTAAGACTGATTAGCACATACCGATACCCGAATTTTTGAAGAATGTATCTAATGTATTCGTGATTGGACATTGTCTACAGCGGTTACATCGAAGTTATTGATATCTGAACAAGTTCATATATAACTGACTGGCCCTTGAGATCATTTGGTGACCGACAATAAAGGTAACAATGAGTAGTCAGGTCCTAACAGACAGCGGTGTGAGTTCCGCTGCCAGGTCTATGACAATATGTTGTGGCAGCACGGACGATGATGACAGGATGACCAACGAGACGTATTTCTCTGAAGAAGGAACATGTGACTCTTCTGACGAGTATGACACAGATCTGGATCTTCCCCTGAATGCCAGATCACCGCCTCCTGGTAAATATGAACGTTATAATTAAGAATTTGTTCTCAGTTACAAAAAGGTGATGTTAAGGACACGGTGTTGACCCAAATATGCCTCTCGTTGTCATCATTTGAAATGACCAATGTATAGCATTCAGATATCCAGGGATTGAGATGTAAGGATTAATATAGAAATATAATGACCATAAATACATCCTTTGGATTGACAACTTCGAATTTAATGTGACGACCTTGTCACATATCCTTTCGAATGATACGTTTATAATACCATGTTAAAACTGTGTTAAAGATCGCGCTATCCGACTGACCAGTGTCTGTGTTGTAAGAATCCATACATGTTGGCTGGTCACCAAGTACGGACATTATGACGTCATAATGTTTGAAGTGGTTACGTGCTAGTCACGTCATAACTGACCCTGTGCGCACTTCGAGCTAGCGAGATCAGATTTCGGTCACAAGTTAGATATATTATATTCATTCAATAACGTCTGAACTTGTTATGCTGCATTCGTTACAATTGTTTCCAGCCAGACCTTCGGTCTTTGTGGTGTACAAGTCCATTCAGATCGTACAACCCCGTGCATCCCGCTTACGACACATGTAACTCAAAATCTAAACAGAAGAGCAAGATAATATGAGACATTTCCTTTAACGTATAAATATATGTGTTTACTCAAAGGAGTATCGTCAGACCTGCGTTCGATATGAGCTACATTCAAAACGTCAACGACTAAGAATAACCAGTCTTAATATCTACCGAAACAGATTCAAATTGATTCAAACAGACTAAAAAAATGCTTACTAGTGATCACTGAAAACCATTCGATGACACCATTGATGTATGCGAAAAGGGTACCCCGTGAGATCTCGGTTGCAATTGGTCTTCAGCAAGCCATGAATGTCATAGTTTCCCAATTGCGTAGATTGATGCTCATGATGTTAATCATTGGATTGTCTGGCCCAGATTCGATCATCAACAAACTGCCGCCATATAGGTGTAATATTGTTGAATGTATAATATTGTTGGATATACAACAAACAAACAAAGTCAATACGGATTATTCGTTTCAGAAACACCAGACGAAGATAAGCTAGACGTGGTGTGTAGAAAGGTGTATCAGAGTGCTTGCAGTCGCCAGACTCCTGTCATGACGTACCCACAGCGGAGAATAGAGGACGGACTGTCCAACAGGACACTGCATCTCAAGTACCGGACAATGGGTTGTAATGCAATGAGGCCTCTATCGGTTGCCCTAACGGTGAGTACACATAATCATAATCATATTTTAAAGAGCCCATACTGTAAAACATATTAATATGGGTATATCCGTCACATGAGTAGGTGAGTGAGACGAACAATACGCTGCTTTTATCAATCAATGTTTTATTCCAACAAACCACCGTAGGTGGTACAGGAACAATACATAAACAATAAATTGTAGTGATCACTTGGTAAATTGTTGATTATAGTGTTGTACTCATCTTCTGACAGCATTTTTAATAACTCTTATAAATCGAAGATCTTCAATCTTCAAAATGTGCCACGTGGGGGACATTAGAAAAGACATTTACACTTTGTACCAATGTAGGGAATCGAACCCGGGTCTTCAAAGAGACGAGCGAACGCCACTAGGTTACCCCACGCATCGTAATGAACAGAACATGTTTGAAGTGATAAATGCACCAGCATATACATGCAACGATCACAACACGGCGATCTGTACGTTGATCTCAGGTCATTCAATATCTTCAAGTGACATTTAGAGTTCTATTATAAATGAAGTTATATTGACCTGGTAAAGGTACTGGTATTTGTATCAACACGTCGCACTGAAACAAAAGGAGACAATGACACCAATGCCTGAATCCAGTTTATTATAAACATTTAGTTGTATCATGTGCTCGTGATGTATGTAGAAATTTATAAAATAATTACAAGACACATGTTTCAGCTATATCATCAGGGAAAAGTTACAAGTGAATTTTAAATTTGTGCTTCTGTACACTAGTGAACCTTACATATGTGCTACTGTACACCAGTGAATTTTACATATGTACTGCTGTACACCAGTGAACTTTACATATGTGCTACTGTACACCAGTGAATTTTACATATGTACTGCTGTACACCAGTGAACTTTACATATGTGCTACTGTACACCAGTAAACTTTACATATGTGCTGCTGAACACCAAAGAACTTTACATATGTGCTACTGTACACCAGTGAATTTTACATATGTACTGCTGAACACCTAATAACTTTACATATGCACTGCTGAACACCTAAGAACTTAACATATGTACTGCTGAACACCAGTCATGGTGCAGGACCAGTAACGGCCGAAGTCAACACATTGTTAACCATAGACTTTAACCTTTAACTTTATGTGACAAAGTGTTCCTTGCGCTAACAGTGAGTGGGTGAGTTTGGGTTAACGCCACTTCGAACAGTATTCAAGTCATATCACGGCGTGTCAGATTAAAATGGAAGGAAAGCCCGGAGTGATCTAGGTCTCAGACGTTTACCACTTTGATGAAACCCACGAATACGGATAGTGCAGGCAAACCGACAAACATATTCTGCGCGAACCACGATTTGAACCCACAAGCATAGATTTTTGGCGTGTCCAATTGCAAGCAACTCTGCGCCTCTCACGACTGTGGATGCTTGTACTAGCCCGGATTAATGCCGACTTTATAGTGCTAAATACCATATCGCAGGTTAACATGGATAGCCCCACACAGTATACTGACTCCGAGCCGACCAGTTCTCTTTTATCCCCTTAATGCCGATTGCAAGGCAGAGTAACAACAAGTAACATCTTTTAACTTCTTTTGGCATGACGCGGCTGGGGATTGACCACCGAACTTCGGATCTCCGGGCAAACGTTCTTTCCAATACATCATGGAGGCTGGCCGAAATAACGAAGCATGTTTTGAAACATATAGACAAGTTTGCTAAAACAAAAGTTGTATTTCTTCATCGTTTTTTGTATAATGTATGATACTTCAGATGAATCATAATTTATAGGTTAATTATTATCACAAGCGCCTCTTCAATCACTATCGTCCTGCTTGCCGTGAGAAACTACAGTGGGGATCGTCAGATTCCATGAATTACGATTACAAAATATTACGAGTAATGTTCACGCCATCAATCTCTTGAATATTGTATTTCAGAATAACCTGCGCGTTGAACGCCTGGACCTCCAATACGCAGACATGAAGGCCGAAGGAGTGAAGGACCTGGCCAATGCGCTCTCAGACAACATCACTGTGTCATATCTGGTAGGTGGAAACTTTTGCTATGTGTTGACCTCTTATGGCGCATTTCATGTGTCAGGAGAATCTTGTATCTCGAAGGATGTCCGAAATACAAAACGTCAACACCAGAGAATAGCTATAGTCATTCTACAATATTCAACCATACCCACTGACGCAGATTTCATAGGGGGTAAAAGGCAACACGAGGATGCAAATTATGATCATGAAGAGTTCCGAAAGTTCATATATGTGAATGAAGAGTTCCAAAAGTTCATATATATGAGTGAAGAGTTCCGAAAGTTCATATATGTGAATGAAGAGTTCCGAAAGTTCATATATATGAGTGAAGAGGTCCGAAAGTTCATATATGTGAATGAAGAGTTCCGAAAGTTCATATATGTGAATGAAGAGCTCCGAAAGTTCCGAAAGTTCATATATGTGAATGAAGAGTTCCGAAAGTTCATATATGTGAACGAAGAGTTCCGAAAGTTCATATATGTGAATGAAGAGTTCCGAAAGTTCATATATGTGAATGAAGAGTTCCGAAAGTTCATATATATGAGTGAAGAGTTCCGAAAGTTCATATATGTGAGTGAAGAGTTCCGAAAGTTCATATATGTGAATGAAGAGTTCCAAAAGTTCATATATGTGAACGAAGAGTTCCGAAAGTTCATATATGTGAATGAAGAGCTCCGAAAGTTCATATATGTGAATGAAGAGTTCCGAAAGTTCATATATGTGAACGAAGAGTTCCGAAAGTTCATATATGTGAATGAAGAGTTCCGAAAGTTCATATATGTGAACGAAGAGTTCCGAAAGTTCATATATGTGAATGAAGAGTTCCGAAAGTTCATACATGTGAATGAAGAGTTCCGAAAGTTCATATATGTGAACGAAGAGTTCAGATGGCACAGGGGCGGTCTTGACGCCGAAGACCCGGGTTCGATTCCCGACATGGGTACAACGTGTGAAGCCCACTTCTGGTGTCCCCCACCATGATATTGCTGGAATGTTGCTAAAAGCAGTGTTAAACCATACTCACTCACTCACTCAGATTGAACAGGGAGTAATTATCTTATGAAATGGACAAGGGAAGGGATGACCAAGTGACAGAATCTGGGATGAATCACATTTATGTACCTTAGATCTGCCATGATCCACTGATGGTGGATTGGAACCATACAGTCCCTACGATTATGATACTTGATATGTTAGCACCATACCGTGCTCTTCGGTTGGACTAAACAGGTAAATATATACAGCCTCCATTACTAAGGGTTCGTCCCAGTAGGCTGACATACGGTGACATCACTTCAAACGGCCAGTGCTGCGTTTACCTTTAGACTAGCATCTAGTCTCAGAAATGAACATAGCGTACAGAAACAACAGTTGTTCAGTTATCTTAATAAAAATATTATAAAAAGGAGCCCAGTGACTCTCTTCATTTTCAGACCTGATACTGCAGTGATCTAGACTTGCCAAACATTATAGACTTGCATGGGCTGTATTTGATATAAATTTGTATCAGGGTCTGTAAGACAGACTACGTTTACCTTCTTCACTCACAAATATATTTACATATGTTCATCTCTGGAAAATATATGCGAAAGGTATATGTGTGTCCTTATACACGAGGTTAATAACACAATAAATACTGTCCATGGATAATTTATTTGTGTCAGTGTCGGAACAGTGTAAGACTCGCTGGTGTCAGCCTTGTATTTCTTGCTTGAATCAACACAAAGCAGTTCTAAAAACACCCTTGCAAAATGCATGTTGATCTATGTGCCTGTAAGTGTGCAATCGATGAGAATCTTTTGTCACTGCACTTGTAGCAATGGCATGAACGTCAATACTGGGTATTGTTGTCTCTTGTGCTGCTTCATTTAACACAAGGCAAAGCGCCAGAAAAGATATCCATAATTAAAACATCTCCTGTAGTAGCGTAACAACAGAGCATAAGAATGGAACATGACCTGCAAATGCAAGCTATGTAGATAACTGCTATGACCTACATGTACACCATATGTCAGGCCGACACAATGACATACATTTTCTGAATATTCAAATGTGTGAATATTACTTTATTCATAAATTTACAAGGAATAAGAATAAAAACAACACTTTGTGTTATCAAAAGAAATTAATGATAGTTTTATTTTTGTGGCATAATACGTTTTGTCATTAAAACAATCTATCATCAGTACAGTGATAAAGCTGGTTTACCGTCTAGGGAAGCCGAAGGGACACTTGCAAATATTTCAAAGTAGTAATTATGACTTTACATAAATAATTCGTGATGACACTCAGCTTTCACATAGTATCGACACATCCGTAATTATAATTTGTAAGTGGCGCTAATGAGCTTCCATAGACGTCAAACATGCCGTCTCGTCTATAAACATGTAATCATGTCACATACCCCGTATACATGACTCATCAGTGACTGTGCATATTGTTGTTTCCGTCAGAACCTTGGAAACAATGACATCGGTACAGAGGGGGCGAAATGGGTCGCATATTTGCTTCTGAAGAACAGGCTGATAAAACACCTGAATATAGAAGGTATGTCTATTCACACGTTATCTACATGTTTTTGTGTATGCCAATGTTTGTTTGACAATCCCCTTTGACAAGCATGACAGACGCTTTTCATGTACAGTCATTCCAAAAGTACATTTTGCATATCACCATGAATGGACACATAATAAATGTGTTGTACTGTCCCTGTCTCATATTACTTCAAAGTCCCCCTCAAAACTTCATTTATATATGTACAATGAATATATACATGAACAATGTAGGTTAAATTTGTAAGATATGAATGTGATGGCCACGGATTTTACCTTAAAAAATATCACTTAAGACATTAATCCATGGTGAACGTTTCTAACTTGTTATTATTCACGTTCTTGTTTAGTCCTTTTGCTCTGACATTCGGTATATGAATGTGTTACCAACACCAAAGAACTTATATCCGTTTTGATATGGTTAAAATCCGATGAAACATATATTCATACAGATGAACTGGTATAGGGTGACATTTAATGTCATGCTATTAATATTTATTCTATCATGAATTTGGATAGTACTCGATTTTGATTGGTCAATCAGAGGTATCAAGTCACAATAAACCTCCTCTGATTGAAACAGCCTATTTGACACCCGGATCACCGCGGAGGCCAATATTTTTTAGAATAGTGCGTCTCTTACAATCATTGTCGGTACGCATATTTAAGTAATTATATGTACAATCATAGACTACAAAATGCAAAGGTGCGGTTACTATAATACTCAAAGGCTGTATGGCAATACATTTCAGGCAGAAAAAACGACAGAAATATTCAAAGAGAATCTAGTTCAAGTTTGGAGGACAACAGTTAGCTTGCTATTTGGCGCTTGTCAATATACGACTGTGAGGTTATATCTGTTGCATCACAATGAGCGACATGGCGTCATAATAGTGACGTTCGATGTAAAACGAAACCTTCCAAGGTTGGCTCAGTTTTTCGTAGGTGTGCCCACCCTTGTTAAGCTTACGAAGTTGTCGTGATTCATGCTTTCAAAGTCTGTCATAAGTTCGAGTGAATTATTACTGTGTGAACAAACTGCTTGAGCATTTAGATCGACATATTTTGTTTAAAGGCTGTCGATGATTTCGGAGAAGGACTCATCCCATTCCGCTCCACTCAGTGTGTTTGTTAACACCAAAGAGTTCGCGTTTTATTTATTCATGGTAGAATTGAGATAAACAAACTGTGTTTTCATTGTTGAGCTAAGTTGCCAGTATATTTAAACGCGCTAAATCTAACTTTTGAAACCTCGATTCCAAATTCAATTTAGCGCGGGTAAATGATTAGCATTTCCCATTTGTACATTGCAGGAAACAAACTCACGGACAATGCCGCACCTCACCTTGCTATGGTGCTTGAAGTAAGGCTCCTGAATAGTTGAATGAAAGAGGGAAATAACGTCGATTTGAACAGTATTTCAGTTTAATACGGCGTCGCACTCAGCAATACTGCAGCTGTATGACGTCAGTCTTTAAATAATCGAGTCTGGACAAGACATTTCAGTTATTGACACCACGAGCATTGATCGACGCAATTGGGATACGATGCCATGTATCAACAAAGTCAGCGAGCCTGACCTCTCGATCCCGTTAATCGTCTCTTACAACATATATGGGTGGTCTAACCCGGATCCTCGCGGGGTTTACTGTTACAGGAACGGTTAATGTGATGCAAACCGTAGACATTAATCACTTGGATGATACCCAAATGCACGGAAAGGGTGAATAACAACGATCATAATTGGGATGAATGTGGGGATCGAACTCGTGACCAGATGATTCTGGCACTGCCAGGGGACGCAACTCTGCATAGTGTGCTTCAGCACCGTAGATTATTTGTCTGTGTCTCTTATCTTTTAAAATAATCACAATTGTCTGAAATTTATAAAAGCAAGTAACATTATATCAGTTAGATTGCCAATTATCAGTTAATGGCATTCTTCCTTTACAGCACAACACTAGTTTGAGTATTTTAGATCTCAGCCACAACGAGTTCTGCGACAATGGACCAAAGCTTATCGCAGCAGCACTTGGTGAGTACGCTGTTTTAACAGCTCACTATTTACTTAAGTAATGTCGGTAACGGTTGAGGAGATGATATATTAAATACGAGTATATTCGTGATCGAACTGCATTGGAGAAACCGTGGGACACGACTTTTCTCATTTCTGAATATGGCTTTAAGCAAGAAGACTATTGTCCAACATCCTTTATAGATGACCACTGTTCATCGTGTGACATATCAGTATTTACTCCAACTGTAACACCTTGTAACCAAACGATACCGTCTTCTTTTTGTTACAGGCAAAATTCTCAACGTTGCACGTGTAAGATATTGATTGTTTTGAATAGAAGTATAAGCTAAGGATGGTCCTGTGTTGGGCGAGACACCGAGGCGATTTGCCATTTAATTAGAGATTTTTGCTATTTACTGCTGTCGTTTTCTGCATCTTCCAGGACTCAACACGGGTTTGGAAACATTTCGAATGAGCTGGAACCACGTCAGAGGAAAAGGAGCTGTAGCCATTTGTCAGAGTTTGAAGGTAGGTTTGTGTTACAGTTGTATCTTGCAAGGAAGAATACACCCATTATTCCTGTTACACTCATTTACTACAATCATGATATTATAATGAATAAACACATTAAGAAAACGCTTAAGGTTTCATGCGTTCGCCATTTCATGTACACGTGTTCCATCTGACACACAATGCTTAAAACATTATGTTTAAGTTCAGATTGATGCATCTGCTCAATGCAACATCCTTCCAGGACATTTAGAATACAGCATTATGATTGGTCTCCAGACAGCAGAGGGTTCGATTCCCACTTTTGGTGTCCCCCGCGTGATATTGCTGGAATATTGCTATCCGCGGCGACAACACCATACTCACTCAGGACAGACAACCCGACGAACGACGACTAATAGAGTGAACTATGAAATTCAGTACTATCAATGCAGTTTGACCTTTGTCGCTACTCAACCACACACGCTGACGCCATGTCTACCCCATTACAATGGGTGGACTTTTGATCATGATGTCATTATAGCTGTGTGTACTTAATGTGCAAGAACGCTTGATTTGTCTCTAGGTAGGGTTGTTTGAATAATGCACATACTTACATTATATGTACTCACAGTAATTTTATTTCCTCATATAATGATAAAAATAATAAAATAGCATGCAAAAATTTTGATGATTTGAGTGCAAACATAAGCGACTTTGGACCGATCGTCAATTGTCAAACCTTGGAGTATTCATCTCACTGAAAACTGATGACACAACACTCATCACTTCAGCGACCGCCAAATAGTTAATTATTGTGTCATTATGTTCCCAATTTCAAACTTCAATCGCAATCTGTACATTTTCTTTCAAATTCGAAATTCCGTTCGCTTCAATAACGTGAAGTATAGAATCTATGTTTGGATCTTCAAAATTGGAAACACAGGAGGTTTATCTCCTAAATGATTTTTTTTTATTGAAGCTATTTGATTAATCATAATACAAAAGTGTTCACATGCGACTTCGTACATGACTTTAGTGGTCATAAGATCGTCGTTCGATCACCATCAGCACAACATAACATTTCACCATCAGTAAAACATAACATTTCACCATCAGCAAAACGTAACATTTCACCATCAGCACAACATAACATTTCACCATCAGTACAACATAGCATTTCACCATCAGCACAACATAACATTTCATCATCAGTACAACGGAACATTTCACCATCAGTACAACGTAACATTTCACCATCAGCACAACATAATATTTCACCATCCGTACAACATAACATTTCACCATCAGCACAACATAATATTTCACCATCAGTAAAACGCAACATTTCACCATCAGTACAATATAACATTTCACCATTAGCACAACATAACATTTCACCATCAGTATAACATAACATTTCACCATCAGCACAACGTAACATTTCACCATCAGCACAACATAACATTTCACCATCATTACAACATAACATTTCACCATCAGTACAACATAACATTTCAACATCAGCACAACATAACATTTCATATCAGCACAACGTAACATTTCACCATCAGTACAACATAACATTTCACCATCAGTACAACATAACATTTCACCATCAGCACAACGTAACAATTCCCCATCAGTACAACATAATATTTCACCATCAGTACAACGCAACATTTCACCATCAGCACAATATAACATTTCACCATCAGCACAACATAACATTTCACATCAGCACAACATAACATTTCATATCAGCACAACGTAACATTTCACCATCAGCACAACATTATATTTCACCATCAGTAAAATGCAATATTTCACCATCAGTACAACATAACATTTCACCATCAGTACAACATAACATTTCAACATCAGCACAACATAACATTTCACCATCAGTATAACATAACATTTCACCATCAGTACACCATCACATTTCACCATCAGCACAACGTAACATTTCACCATCAGCACAACATAACATTTCACCATCATTACAACATAACAATTCACCATCAGTACAACATAACATTTCAACATCAGCACAACATAACATTTCATATCAGCACAACATAACATTTCATCATCAGTAAAAGTATCATTTCATCATCAGTATAACATAACATCTCACCATCAGTACAATATAACATTTCACCATCAATTCAACATATTATTTCATCATCAGTAAAAGTATCATTTCCCCATCAGTATAACATAACATCTCACCATCAGTAAAAGTATCATTTCATCATCAGTATAACATAACATCTCACCATCAGTACAACGTAACATTTCACCATGATCACAATATAACATTTCACCATCAATTCAACGTAACATTTCACCATCAGCACAACGCAACATTTCACCATCAGTATAACATAACATCTCACCATCAGTAAAAGTATAATTTCACCATCAGTACAACGAGACCCTGAAACTGCTGGACGTATCCATGAATGGATTCGGGTACGAAGGTTCTGTCGCCATGGCAGAGGCTCTCAAGGTCAACATTTCCCTCCGAGAGTTGGACATGTCCTCTAACCGGATCACATGGAAGGGAGCTCTCATCATATCCGGGGGTCTGAAAGATAATAATGGCCTTGAGATACTGAGGGTAAGAGCAATAATCTCCGCATTTCAATTGCAATTTGCTTTATACAAAGCCTGTTTAGAATTACCAGCTCTTATAATTATTAGCACAAGTACTAACGTCCGAAAAATAATCTTAAGCTCAGGGGGAGATGTCGCGAGCTGAAATGTGAAGCCCTTTTCTAGTGTCCCCGCCATGATATTGCTGGAAAATTGCTAAAAGCGGCGTGAAATCATACTCACTCACTCGCGAGCTGGAAGGAGAGACATTAATTCTATGCATATGGTATTGATCTTGTGAAAATAGAGTTCATTTTTCATGAAATTCCAAATGTCACGAATCCAATATTGTCAATCAGTGATACATTGCAATGCAGTTATTACACCAGAGTTATATTAACAACAAAATTGGGTGGTAAATGTATTCGCCGAACTGTGTTTCAGTCATATTGAATATGCTTTTAAATATTTTATACAAGTTTTGAAAATGATTTACGATTAAACTCATTTTCATCAGATGTGACCCTTTCCAACGTGTACAATTACTGGTCTTCACAAACATTGCTCTCTAAGTAACTCTTGTTTGTCCTTGCAGCTTGGAAAGAACCCATTGTCCACGACCGGATGTATGGATATCACAGAGGCTATAACGTATCCTGACTGTAACGTAAAGTTCCTGGATCTAACAGTAAGATTTTATTTGAGTTGTTTGTTTGTTGTTTGGTTGTTTGTTTGAAGCAGCAATCAGCAATATAACGACTATCTGATGACGGGCTGGAAATAATTGAAAAATCCATTGATATTATGAGTATGTTCTACACCGTCTTCCAAATCATCGATCATAATCATGACCACCCGATTCTTACTACCAGCACATCTTGCTGTCAATCAGTTCTAACCGGAATCCCCAAAGTGTCTGGCGATATGAGTAATTTCGGAAACGCGGATTTGGAAAATAGGTCGGGCAAGCTGTTACCAAATTCTTATTTTGGAATTTGTACTTCGAACAGTAGCGATTAATGGGGTTTCACTAACTAGCAATAGATTACGGTATACACAAAGTGATTCAATAACATACAGGTCAATATCTATGTGTATATTGTGGTTTCCAAATTGAAATGTACATGTTACCCAGAAATCGGTACGTACAGAACTAAACTGTGAAATCAAAGGATTAAATAAAAATAGCAGCAGCAATAAGAAACAGGGCCTATAATATGTCAGTGCACTCAAGAATGACTGCCTGTCTCCGTTCTTGAACACGGAATCAGGGAAACTTGCAGGGATTCGATGTTTTCAGATAGGTATTCGATCCACATTTGTTCGAAAAAGGCCTCGAACGTCCTTACTATCCCTCGTATATTGGAACAGCGAGGAACTGTCCCATCCCATAACTTCTCGGATGATCAATCCTATTTTGTTTGTAAACATCCAGGTACGGTACATGCAACTCTACATTCTACTCACTCTCTGACGCGGACAGCAGTCGCCATTCTAATAGTGCTTCATTCATGTGCTTCTACAGACAACAACTCCAAATACACTTTTTCACAACTATATATAGTGTTCATATTATATTCATACATGTATGTTATTCCATTGAGTAATATTTCCTCTGACAAAAGGCCTTTCACAAAATGCATTCACCGTCAATCATATCGGAAATAACATTTACCTCAACAGGGTGTCTCTATCCTGGCCGAGAACGAGGTTCTTGCTGATGCGATCAGGATGAGGAAGGATTTCCGGTTTCTCCACGGAGGGATAGTCCTGACTCCAGATGTTTTGGGAGAGCGAATAGGTTAGACAAAACACAATAATATTAACTTATGGAACTTTATTGTAAATGCACTTTTTGACAATGGAGATTTAAGAGAGTTGCAGTTTGGCCAATAGAATAAATCCTAGATAGCAAGACATTAAACATAACCATGTTCAAGGGGACAATAGATCAATTCGGGTCTAGAAAGAAGTGAACACAAAGACAAAACCCAACTCATTCCCCAATGGTAATAGGGATGCACTCTTTTTGATCTGCAGCCCGGAAGAAGGACCATATGGAGATATTGATGGAGTACATGAGGAAGACATGCATCAGGCCAATCGAAATCATCCGAGACTACGACAAGACGGTCAACTTTAAAGTAGCACAAGACAACTTTGTCGAAAGACTTGTGGTAAGATCATTTTGTGCCCCCATCATGTGTGACGTGAATAGGGCTTCAGCTGCTATACACTGACATCCAATGTATGCCATGCAACCATATGCAGACAGAACAACGGCAAGTGTTATCACCATCCAACAATGACGAGTGGTGTTACACTAATGAAACTTGCCTAACAGTCGTTTTTAAGTCACATCTGTAGCCCATTTTCGGCCATTTCAGCAACTGATGTAACGACCCAAGTTGAATTAGTGGCGTTTAAGGGCTCATTATCACACGGAATAATGATTATCTTATGTTTCTTTCAGCGTGCGAATGTACCTCTCCACAGGTTTGAGATGAGAGCCCTCGCCAGAGCAATAATTGAGAACGATAACATCCAAAACAAAGACAAGATCGATTACATGTATGTATATCTTCGCCCACTCTCTTTTGAAAGAATAAATCGTCAGTAATTTCCTAACGACAGCATTGAAGGGACTACAAGGTTGCAAAATAATTACTTGCATTGGCAATCATTTAACATTTTTCTTCACTATGTCCCAAAAAGATTATTTCACTGATATAAAGATTAATAAACAGCTGTCAATTTTGAAAACCGCCACATATCTTAAAAGGAATAATTGATACAAAATCGTTTTCCACTTTTCAGGAAACTAGTTGAGTCTGTCACTGAGCAAATACTACAGGACAGAATCCGCATTAAAAGTGAAAAACGTGAGGTGCGAAAGACCAAACAGCATCACAAAAGGATTCTGGCAAGTGGACTGCCACAGGTACTTTACGACCGTGGTGAGGGAAGAGACAGTAAACAACGCAGCTCCAGAACAAGCGGTACCCCATCGATGAGCGCAATAAACTTCAGCCGCCTTGACCTTGGTACTATTTCCTGTACGTCACTACCTAGTGTACCCGACGTCAACAGAAACATCCAATCATTTGAGAGCTCTTTGATTTTTGGCCCAAAGAACGTCGTAAATACACACGTTCCAAAACCAAGAGTGATATCAATGTGTGCCGACCTTGGTGATCAAGGTAAAAAGAAGAAGAAAAAGAAGTCTAAGTTGGTCCGTAAAAAGAAGTCTAAATCGAAAACACACGTAGAAACATGGATCTCCAGATCAAAGTAATGTCACCAAAAGCTGCCTGAAATGGGATCCGGAATGAAAAGATAAATGCAATATTTACACTAGTATGCGCGAGTGTTTTCTTGTTATCGTTCGACACAACTGCATATACATGTAACAAAATCCTAGCCACATCATAGCGGGGGACAGAAGTAAGGCGTCCACACTTTGGATCGTTTTGGGTGTGAATGCACGGTTGATTTTTTACCGTAGCGTTGGACATGCTAAGCCTTTTCGCAAATGCCTGGTGTCCACTGATATTCTTTCCACCGCTATTTTGCCTTACGCCAAATGGATTCAAGACTGATTGTTTTCTGGCTTTGACGTTATAAATTTTACATTCTGGTGTGTAAAGAAAGTGTTTGTGCAGTATTGTTTATTGCCTTGAGTTACTACCCAGGGTTCTACTTTGTTGTTGTTCCTGAAAGACCATTAATCATCAAAGTGTGCAAATCCAACTTTCTGTGACCACTTTGACCACAGTGACAGTGACACCAATTAGACCGTTCTACAGGTTGACAACACCAACTGAACCTTCCAGTTATGCAAATGTTACCAGAAGCTTCAGTACTGGATTTGGGGCTTTACGAGCATTTCGTGTTCGTTATCATCATCCCATGGTGTATTGGTTGCATCACCTGAAAAGCAGTTGTTTTTTTGTAATATTTACGAGTCATATAGGTATTCTCATCAACACTGTCCACTGTAATCCAGTACATGTTACTGGCAAACCAGTTATCATGATAACGGCGAACCATACCCAACCATACCATCATGGACCCGTGAAGATCCGATGTAGAAGAGGTCTTTAGCAACCCATGCTTGCCGTAAAAGGCGACTATGCTTGTCGTAAGAGGCGACTAACGGGATTGGGTGGCCAGGCACGCTGACTTGGTTGATGCATGTCATCGTATCCCAATTGCGTGGATCGATGCTCATGATGACAATCACTGGATTGTCTGGTCCAGACTGGATTATTTACAGACCGCCGTCATATAGCTGGGATATTGCTGAATGCGGCGTAAAACAACAAGCACCACCACCACAACCACACGATCATGTCACAACATGGACAATTTTAATGGACAGACTATGCACGGTGAATGCACCAGCAATTTATTCATTACCTCTCGATATCACATATCGGTGTGTCGTATTGTATAATACACTACTTCTGTTGAAGCTTTTTGTGCAATTAAGATTTATATCAACAATAGAAACATTCGTTATGGTTTTCTTTCCAATGGCAACTACAACAGTGAACTGGGAATTACTTCGGATTTCTACAGTGCTTCAGTAATATCACTGAGGCTATTTGTAGCATACGGTACTATTAGGAATTTCTTTTTCAACGCTGATATATGAACAATGAGAATTTGTTTTAAGGATTGACAGGTTTGTTTCAGTTCATTGAGGTAGGAATAAAAAAACTATCCGCGTAGTGGATTCTTACAAGAGTTTGCACATCGGTTTTTCGATTCTTACATCAATGAACCGAACAAAATACACATCCAATGCTTATTATTAAATTCGACAACGTAAAACATATTTTATCAACAAATGTTTTAACCAAGAACAGTTTTATTTATCAAAACAGACAAAACTTGACGAGATTGATAAACATTCCAGGTGTATGAATACATAATGTGGCGTGACATGAATCAGGTGATCGTTTAATCTATGCACATAACTTGACACACCTACAAAGTCAGGAGCCAATCAACGGAGAGTAGTATCTGTCAATTAAGGCAAGAGGCGAGAAGAACTGCAACAGTCAGACTGTAACGAACCGGAAGAAATATGTCCAGGAGAAGGCGGATGTTTCAAATGACATGGTCAGCTACGGCCAGATTTAAACATTAGTTTCCTGAAAACGGGAAAATGCTAGTTAGAAATGAAACGCGAAGACATGAAAGTTGTTGAATCGAGGCGGGCGGGAACAAAACAGGCGAGCGAGCCTGCATGTTTGCTGTTTCATTCCTTCTCGGACATCGGTTTCAAAGGGTAGTTTGGACAATGAATATGCATGAATGTCGCTAAATTTCCTGTGCATGACGATAAACGTGAGCAGAAAGGGAATCCCCGCGACTGTAATATTGGGATTCCCCAACATTCCGCAGTAATAAAAGTAGTGCCCTCGGTAGGCGTGGCGTTTGCTGTCATATATTAAATGAGTTTCAGTGTGTTTGACCACATTACTGTAGTTGTTTAGTATACAACCTTTGATTAACGAAGCCGGTGCTGGTTTGTTTTTCGTTATTCAAAAGTACTGAATAACTAAACAGCTTTTGGACAATGTAAGACGAACCTGCTGTCAAATAGTAAGTAGTTTCAGTGTATTTGACCACATTACTGTAGTTGTTTAATATACAACCTTTGAATAACGAAGCCGGTGCTGGCTTGTTTTTCGTTATTCGAAAAACGAATGACGAATAACTAGCCCCACTGGTAATACATTATATTATATTTGTTATGCCAAGTCTGAATAACGAACCCGGTGCTGGTTTGTTTTTCGTTATTCAAAAGTACTGAATAACTAAACAGCTTTTGGACGATGTAAGACGAACCTGCTGTCAAATATTAAACGAGTGTCAGTGTATTTGACACATTACTGTAGTTTTTTAATATACAACCTTTGAATAACGAAGCCGGCGCTGGCTCGAAAAACGAATAACGAATAACGAACCCGCTGCTAACTTCGGGCCCCTGTTTAGGGTAGCCTACTATAGCGTTCGCTCGAAACGCCGAATACAAAGCCCACTTCTGTGTCCTCCGCTGTGATATTGCTGGAATATTGCCAACAGCAACGTCAAGCCATACTCACTCACTCACTCACTCACTATAAATAAGTGGCAACATACCCGGCTTTAACGATCAAGTTATTCATTGTATTTTCAATAATAATTTAACTGAACAACTTGCACACTGTTTAGATATTCCAGTTATATCAGGGCGTGTCATATTAATGTGGGAAGAAGGTCCGAGGTGATGCAGGTTTCGGACATTTTCCATTTTTGTGAAACCCACGACCAGGTCTATGGTGCTGACAAACCTAGAAACATTATCGGGGGAACCAGGATTCGAACCCACAATCAGAGGCTTCTAGTGTGCCCAAGGAGCGCTACTCTGCAAAGCGAATTGCGGCGCCTTGACACTTGGGCCACCCCTCGTCACAAGAAAAATAGAAAAATTCAAGACGTCACATTCAAATCAGTGATGAAAGTAAATTCAGCGATACATGACTCAACATACCCCGAGAGTATTAAGAGAGAAATCAAGCACTTCCAGTGTGCATGCACATGTGTTTACTCCTCTCTGCCCACACAAATGTATACATGGATATCACGTACAATAACATCGTAAGTGAAGTTTGCATTTATTAAATTACATACATTAAGGCTTACGGTGTCGGTTGGGTTATCGCCGGAAAAACGACTCTTTTATTATTGAAGAAGGGACAGTCTAAACTTGGTTTTCATCTATTGTATATTGTTGGGAGAGAGTCAATAAAGCATACGAATGCGCGAACATAAGGCATACACAATGTCATGTTGTTCAATGTTGGTGTCATTCTGCTTGTGTAGTTAAGGTCAATTTGGACTAGCCACTAGGAAATGAACTGTAGTAGTAATGGTTTGTGTACGTATATATTGACCGTAAGCAACATTCAGGTTTGCTAAAAACTTCCATGGAATTGTACTAACTCTTAATGGCCGATTTGCGCAAGTCAAATGTTATAGTAGTGGTTGTGGCTTCGACAACAAAAGTATGAGTCCCACACATCAAATTGAATAAAATCGCAATGCTTAATTGCTATTGCCCAAAAGGAGGCCCCAAATATGAAACTTGTGGGAATAAATGCGGTCAGAGGTGGTTGGTGTTCACATCCAGCAACGTTCAGAGCATGGACACCTAATGTTAAAAAGCATGTCTAATCGAATAGGATTTGATCGAAAAAGTATTGTCCCAGAAAATAATTATGTTTCAGACTGTTGACAATAAAAATGTGTGTGGGACAAAAATGTACATATAAAATTGATAGACAGTGAAGTCCCAACGTTTGGGTTTGTTTATTTGTTTGTTTGTTTGTTGGCTTGTTGTTTTTTGTGTTTTCGTTTTGTTTTTGTTATTTGTTTTACACGGCAATTGGTAATATTACAGCTACTATCAAGGCCATTAACACGTCATTTTCCCAGAGCATGACCACTCGTTCTAATTACGACCAACGAACAGGTGCTGGGTGTGCTGGTATCTACGCCTAATCAAATAAATATAAATGTGGATCTATATCAACACCTTCCACTAGTAGCGCAGAAAGATAAAACTCTCCTGTTCGGTTATGCTTAGGATAATTGTAAACCGTCAAGAAAACAGCATCGGCAACAAAACCTCCGCCTCTCGTTTTGCAATTCTAGACTGACTTCAGAGTCGTGTTTTATCCTACTCTAAGCAAACAACAGAGTATGCCACAGGCTGTGAAATGAGAGAGGAGATCCGGGTTAAGCCAGATTTAGGTTATCAGGTGTGAACCAGTATGAAGGAACTATGTCGTGGTTTAAACTATACGTTGCAATTGACTGTCATTCCAATTTATAAGTTGGAATATGTATCAACATAACATCAATTTAATACGCGTGCTAAATGTGACATCATAACAATACTGTTGTTATACGTATATTCCCAATCGACATTTTTGTCCGCAAATATTTGAGTTTTCTGGCAGTCAATTCAAAATATATGTATATGGACACGAGGCAAACAATAGCAGATCGTACAAGCCGTTGTCTGTGTCCTACGAATTAAAAATCTGTCGGGAATTGCATCAGGGTGGTCAATAGTCCTACATTAAGGCAACGGGTGCTCAGTGTCTAGGACCGATGTCCTGGTTTATATTGTCCAATGACTTCTATTTCTACGGAGTCAAAGTCTCTCATTGAGGTTATATCAGGCGTGTATGTAACACTACAGAGCCTCACCTTGTATCATGTGGTCAATAGTCCTACATCAAGGCATCGGGTGTTCTGTGCCTAGGACCGATGTCCTGGTTTATATTGTCCAATGACTTCTATTTCCACGGAGTCAAAGTCTCTCATTGAGGTTATATCAGGCGTTTATGTCACACTACAGAGCCTCACCTTGTATCATGTGGCCAATAGTCCTACATCAAGGCAACGAGTGCTCAGTGTCTAGGACCGATGTCCTGGTTTATATATTGTCCAATGACTTCTATTTCTACTATCATGTGGTCAAAAGTCCTACATCTATGCACTCACTCATCATTTACCTGATGAAGAGGCAAGATGTAGCTCTTAAACGTCTTGACAAAGAATAAAAGAAGTTGCTGTCCATAAAAAAGTGTCATGTATTCACATTTTAAACGTGTATTCTGTTTAGAATTTAAACACATTGCGATCTAAATACTTACTCAGTGACCAGTATACCACTGGTTTGCCTTGCGCAGGTTAGAGCAGGTTAAAGAAGTAAATATTCCAAATTCAATTACTTACTTAACACATGCATGTTTCTGTTGGTGTGTTACATCGAGTAGACGTAATACAATCGAGAGTGGATGAGTATTGTTTTAAGCCGTTTTTAGCAACATTCAAGAGATATCTTGGCATACATAAATGGGCTGAACACTTTTACCCATGTGTGGATTCGAGCCATCGCTTTTACCCCAAAGGCTACCCCACTACATTGCGAGTTGCGTCCCTTGGGCGTGCCAGAATCCGATGATCATGCATACGAAGCCACGATTCGCCGCCATTATGATAAGTTTGTGCGCACCATATACGTGTTTTGGGTTTCACCAAAAACGTAAACGTCTAAAATCTATATCCTCCCACGTCA